AGTTCCAATCTTCGGGACAGCTGAGCATCGCTCGCATACCTTTGGTTCGTTCATTACAACTATTCTCTTTTACGACTTCATATTTCTCCTTTAATTAATTATCAAATTCTTTCATATTTTATACTTAACTATTTTTTATATTAGAGATCAATGTGAAATGGTTAATTGTTTGAAATAAAAAAAATTAAAGGTAGTGTAGAGGAAGCTAATATTGGAAATTACCCATTTAAGCACTGTTAGAGAACATCAATGAGAATAAAACCTACATAATATTTAAAACTGCTTTATTTTACACTGATATAATGAATTTAATCAAAATCATTGGAGCAGTTTTCGAGAAAATAGTAAAAATGTGTTTCATCGATGATATAAAGTGACACTTCTGGTTAGCCGATTTTGACGAAAAAGTTGCTGTAACATCTGAGGTATATACAAACCTTAAATATGCAATTTCACTTCCATACGATTTTTCGTTTTTGAGCTAGACCTGTTACACACTCACACACACATACAACTTTGCGGGACTTGGTTATTTGGATTCAGGAGACCTCAAAACATTTATTTCCGTTGAAAGCTCAGATTCAAAAATTTTCACGATCTCAATACTGTCCTTTACTATATATTTCATACACAGGTAAGTGAAAGTAAAAAAAAAATCAACTGTTAAGAATTAATATTTAAGCAAAGTTTCTTAATTCAAAGAATTGATGAAATATATAAAATATATTCGATATCAACTGAGTACCTTATCTTGAAAGAAGAAAGCTTGGATAGAATACTAGGTTTCTTACAATCCAAACCAGACGGACTTGACATATTTTCAGGTGGTTTTGTTTCAAATTGATTCAAGCTAAGTAACAACGGTTTATTAAGGTTTTTTTCATCTCTGAAAGATGAGTTTTTCCCTTGCATAATAATATTTACAATAACAAAGTCTTGAGCTCTGTTCCGTTTTTTATAGTTAACATTGATTGTTTCGGCTTCATCAATCACATTTTCCTGTTTCTTATGTTTTGAGGAAGGAGAATGGAAACTAGGATACAATGGATCAGACATGAGGATCTATAAAAAGGAAGAAAAATGATAAATAATAAATAATTCCTAAAAAAAAAGTTCAAGTTAAAAGTATTTATAAATATCTATTAAGTACTTAATCCAAAAATCATAAGACCATCTGAAATTCGAATAAATTTGTACAGTAAATTAATTTCACATTTTTGTATTAATACAGATAATTGAAGTTTGGAAATATCACAACTGGGGCACAGAATTCCAAAACGTTTTGGAATGTTTTCAGTTTTTAATATTCTTTTTTAATTAACAGCTTTGTTATTAGATTATGATAAAGTAAAAGAATTTTTCAAAAACAGTTAAATCACATTTGTATAAAAATAACTGAAAATTCTTATACTTCATGATGACACAATACTGTTAGTTAAAAAAACAGAAAATGGATTTGGCTGATTTATTTGACACTCAAATATTAATCTGTTTTTAATACCTGTTGATATTTAACACAAAACCAGTGGCCAAATTGTTTACCTTCAAGCAAAATTAAATAAATCTAGTTAGTGAATTTTGTATGATAAATGATTTAAGTCTGGTGAAAAAAAAAAACATATATGGACTAAATAAATTTGTCTATCAAATTTCAGCCAAAGGTACTGAATGACTTAGCGATGTTATTATGGAGAAAATACATGGTTTAAAGGTAAAGAAATGAATCGTGAATATGAAATATAATATTTTTATATTGGGATCAGTAACATGCTGGAACATCAATGATACGCATCAATACAAAAGGATTAAATTCATAATTAGTTGATGGTCTACCTTACCAAAATAAGATAAATAAGCAGGTGATCTTAAGAAAAGTTTCTTACTTTCCACCATTAAACCTTTACTATTATAGCAGAGATCAGATTTTAGGCCTATGGACGGATTAGTTACAAAAAAAAAAAAGATTTAAAGCAAGAGAGCAAGAAATAAAATGAAAAAGGCATTAAAATTTAAATTAGCGACTTTTGGACTAACTTTTGAGATAGATAATGGAAACAGAAGAATTTTCTGACTAAAACTTCCAATCATATTGTAACAAGCCACAATAATGTAAATATATATATATACATACATTTCTGGAGAACAGTTATGTAGTAATAGTAATGAAAATTTGGTTGATATTGCATTATCCCTTACAGTCAGTATAGAGTTTTTTAATACATTAAGCATCGGAAGGGAATATAGTAATTAGTAATAGTAATATAGTAACCACGAAAAGATCCAGCTACATCATTATTTCCAACATATTGAGAATGTTTCATACTTAATATTTTTTCTCTTACTTTATGCGTTAAACGTTAAATGATATGCTTGTCACAAAGAAGAAATATCCTTCTTTGGAATGGCTGTATCACTTGGTCAATTAAATACAAAAAAGAGAAAAATATTGATTTAAATATTTTAAACAGACAAAAACTCCAATAAAATAAAATTTATGAAGAAATTAAAATTCAGTGATATGGAACTTATCTGAAGTGTTATTTTATGTGACATATGTAGATCAAAAGAATATCTAATGAAAGGAATGCGAACAATCAAGATACTATTGAAAAATCTCAGTGTGATTATGACTCTGAGTATGTTTATTGGATCGAGTGATAAGGACAAAAAACCCAAATTTGGGTTCATTTTTTTATCACTTAATACTTTAAGGTATTCAGTCTAGAAACTTACAACACTTTGAAACGAAAGAAAACAACAAATTTATATACAAGTAGAATAAATAAGGTATGTTATATTGAACATCAATCAAACCCCTTAATTCAGAGAAAGTTCTATTTTTTTAATAAAAACTATTTGAGGGGTAGGAATCATATCAGAAGGAAAAATTAAAGATTTAAAATTATAACGGATACTGAATTAAATGTAAATTACATCCACATGAATATTTCTAAACTTGTTACCTATCTTATTTTTTAATTTTAGGTGTTCAGTAATCACCCAAAAACTTTCAATCAAAGTATTCACTTTCATCAAAGGATTTTAATTATATGTGAAAAAAAATCTTACAATTTAAATCAGATTACTTATATTCATGAAAATATTCTCTTCAAATATAAATCCAAAAATAAGTTATGAAACGTATAATAGATAGATCATGGAAATAGAAATAAATATTAACACCCATATTTTATGAAAGCATTATTTCACCTTAGAATCTTTATTCATAAAGAACCTTTTATAAATAAATATTCACTAGCATAAAATTATTTGATTTCATTCAAATATTACCTCAAAAAAGATAGAACTTGAGAAAATTTTCCTTACCTTCGAAAAGAAATGGCAAAACCACTGCTTCTAGGATAAGTTGAAGGGCTGATAACTTTGATGTGGGTAAATCATTAATGAACAAAGAAGTAATATTGAAGATCAGTCAAGATATTTAACTTGAAACTAAAACTCACAAGACTTGTTCTTCCAGATCAATTTCTATTTTTAATTATGTTTTTGCACTTTTATACATACAATATGTATATATTGTTTGCAAGAATTAACCAGTAAGAGGACCTGATGGATCCGTTATGTTTGGGAGTACGTCTGTTCAGGGGATTATTAACCTGTACCACTACAACCCATGAAGGGTCTGGGGTTCAGTACTATTTAGGGAAAGCACTGTTTCTAGGTCAACGGTTGTGCAAGGAGGTGATTTGACCGAGATCACGCTCAACCGCCAGGTTTTTCCCCTTAACCAATTACTTAATTAAGGGTACCCACTTTATAGAGGCTGGGTGTGCCCCAGGAGGGACTCCTGACCCAAGTTCACCCCCACGGCCAATGAAACAGATAAATAAATTTTCTGCCATGAGCCGGGGTTCGAACTCGGGACCTTTGTATTGGAAGCTCAGTGCCCTACCACTGAGCTACCCCGCTCCCTTCAGGGGATTATTAACTAAATAATATTAAGTGAAAACTTCTTTAAGGGCGTTTTGCACTTTTTTTGTGGAAAGTGAATTAGATTGAGCCGTCAGACCTATTATACGCATCAAGCGAAAAGCACTTACCTTGTTACAATATTAAATCCTTCATTTTTCAATATATCTGCCCAAGAGAAAGTCAATAGGTTACTTAGAGATACAGAAATGAAAACTAAAAAAAGTATAAAATAAATAAAGAGAAAGATCCATTTCTGTCAGCCGTAGATATCGACTTTGGAGTGAAGAAACTTCCTTGGACATACCTAAATTCAATACAGAGGATACCTGGCAATTCTCTTGGTAGAGAGCAAAAAGAGTGGATGAACATGAACATCACATTATATCAGTGAATAAAATGGTCATTACTCCGTTATCATGATTTAAACACAAATCTAATTGTAATTATAGGTCGAATTGATTCGGGCTTATTTTTATTAAAATGTCACTAAATAATTAAAATACAAGCGTACGAAAAATACATATTTTAAAATATTTGGTTTAATGCTCGACCCTACCATTGTTTTCCGTACTTTAACTTGAGTAGCATGACCAATGAGGAACAAATGGTAGAAAAGATATCAATGGATGGAAACTTTATTAAATAAAACAAGAACTCAAACATCTAGAATACAAATTGGCATTATATATTTGGAATTACAAACGACATGGCTTAGATTCTTATGAACACTATAACCAGAATTACATGAATTTAGTTGATTCGACATTATTAAATGACTATACATAGGAAATAATCACACCTGATGAGAATTCCTGTATTTTAAGTGGATCAATATTTTATATTGAATAAAACACGAATTTAATGAAAGCCATAACATATCATACCATGTTATAATAACGCCACATCATCCGTTTTCGCAATGATAGATTTTACTTATACATTGCTTACTCCATTCCATTTTTCTTCTGTTGTTAAATGTTAAGCCGTACACGCTTTGGCTTTATTTAACGTATTATTAATAGTTATCCGCACTGTTTATATTAGAACTAAAAGGACGACAGTCTGACCGACAATTAAGGGACATTCATGATTGATGCCATTCTTGTCAGTCTTAAGACTGTCATTCCTGATTGCCATGAAGGGTTCGCTTAATGTTTTATATACCTCTTTGTAAGCACCCTCTTTTGAAAACACCGTATTTTGAAATCGATCTTGGTAATGTACGAAAAAAGGGTGTGATAACGAATCTTGTGTTTATAAGTTTGATTTCAAAATTTTCAAGATGAATCAACCAGACAGAGTAGGCCAGGTTTTATTCCTAATAATTTTCTACTTACATACCTGTAAGCAGATCTTGATTAATTTTAACTAATATATTTATATATTGTTTTAGGAATTGTCAGACTTGAGACTTTTTAGGACTGTATTCTATTATTGTATAATAATAATTGCCTTACCGGTCATAACGTTTTTTGGATCAAAACTACTCATATTTGACAGTGAGTAATTATCATATTTTAGTTAATTTGATCTTTGAGCTAGCCAATACTTCTTTTGTTTATTCATTTCAGGCATTGGCTTGTCAAGTGTGTCAAGTAATGTTTATTCTGCTGTCTCATCCATTGCAGTTCTACATATAGCTTTGGGTTTATACATTTACCGGGCTTATTCAGAAACTAAACCTAGCAAACAGGATTAAAGTTATTTATTCAATTTTTATATTATTTATAATTTAAAAGTTTACGATTTCGGAGTTTGGAAGTTAATGTAAATATATTTAAAAAGTATTCACATCACTAAATTAAGAAATGTTCGCTGATATGTTATTCAGTTGTAGACTCGATACAATGTAAATATGTTGTATGATTTTAAATTATAAGATAAAATTAAATTTGATCTTTATAATAAAAGCCTTTTTCATTTTGTAATACTTATTTTTGTTACTGCCGTTATATAAAATTATTCTATTCTGTTGTTAATGATCAGTTCATCAAATTCATTTTGGGTTATTGTATTATTTATTCCTTCATTATGGTTTATTGTAGTTCTTATGGTGTGTTTAATTTTTCAAACTATGGGAAACACAATTACCTAACTTAACAAATATCAGCATTATTGTCGCAGTAAACTATTTATTTTATTCTTCTTTATACTGACAGCAGATGGAAAATATTAAAAACAAGAAACAAAAATACTAGCTAGTAAAATAACCATTTATATATTTGTTTGTTCCCCAGTTTGTGAAATGTCTTAATGAACCTTTAATAACACATTACAAACATTAATGATATAGTGATATTTCTTAGCAAATATATTTCTATAGTCAGAGGGAGTAACTTGGGTAAGTCAAGAATGGTTCTAATGAGTTGCGATTTGTAGAAGGCTTCTCTGATGATAATGCTTATAACTTATAGGGACCATTTTTATGTTTACTGCGTTATTCCCCCTGTGACCATAGATTTTTTTGTAACTATTTATTTTTAATGGCTAACTTATTCTTGAGGATTGTATTAATAACTTCAATTTATTCAAAATTAGCGTAATTGTTCCTTATGAGCTAAACATGCCTCAAAACTAATTGAATTGATTAGTTGTAAATTTAGGTTGGCTAATGTTCTATATATTTCATTTTTTGTCTGGAAGCCATTTGCTAATAATTTTCCTTTTACTTATGGAGTTTTAAGTTAATATTAATCATCAAGTAATTTCTTAGTTTGGTATGTACATTATTTATTGAAGAGAAGAACCCAATTAATAAAGTAACTCGTGGGTTTGTTTTATTTTATGTAAAACATAATATGAACCTATATTTATAAAAAAAAAAAATGTAATCTATAATGAACGAATTTTTTTTATTACATAAATGCCCCTTTGATGTTATATGATTGTATAAAATGAGAAATGTAAACTTTTTTATGTAATACACATAAAACGTGGATAGATGTTATTTTAAAATATACTTCTCGTTTTATATATTTTTAACTTTCAGTGAACCATTATTTTGTAATAGTGACTTGATTTTTATTAAAAATTTTTATAAAAAATTACTACTCATCTAATAGTCTCACACTTTTTACTTTCATGTACCTAAACATGTAATATAAAGTAATATTATAAGTGATAAATATCCAGGACGCAGTCATTATAAAAAATTTTTATTTGTGCCAACGTTTTAACCCAAACGTGTGGGTCATCATCAGATTATATGGTTCGAGCACTGAAGGCTTTCAAGTACTCACTTTCGGTACTTGAAAGCCTTCAGTGCTCGAACCATGCCCTTATGATGACCAATATATTTGGATTGAAACGTTAGCACAGGTAGAACAGTCGACTAGCTTCCTTCACTAATAAAGTAATATTGCGATTGTGAAGATTTGTTTTCAATGGTTGAAGTTCCACAAATGGTCTGTCTATGAGTATAGATGAAGAGTCTAGTTCAAAAACGAAAAGTCGTTTGAAACTGATGTTACGTACTTAAGATAATTATATGGCAGGGATGTTACAACAACTTTTTTCTGGAAATCGGCTAACCGGAAGTGGCAATGATTTTCCACTTTTTTACAATTTTCTAAAAAACTGCTAACTTTTTTTATTAAATTTGGTGTATTAATGAATAATTTAATAATCTTTAATATCAGGTAGGTTTTATCCCCATTGATGTTGCTTAAAAGGATTTATAAGTTCAATGTTCTAAATTTTTTCCTCTAACCTACCTTTAATTTGGTGATTTTGAATAATCAACTAATTCTCATTGTTAACATTAATAATAAAAGGCTAAATATAAACTGTGAAAGAATTTGATACTTGATTTCAGGAAATCTGTTTTTTTTATTTCGAAAATGAATTTATGGAAATAATAGAAGGTATGTATGTATACGTACATATTTGGAAAGCAGATAATTTTAGAAAAAAACATCTTATATAGAAAGTTGTTGGTGATGAAGAGTGAAAAAAAAAATTATAAATACTAATATTAATTTTTATAAATATATTAATTATAAAAATATGTGAAGACTAATATTATTTGAAGGAAACCACATGTTTCCTAGAAAATGAAATTTCCTTATTTTCCAATCTCACCTATAATTTTTTTATTCAATAGCAGTTCTAGATCTGTTTTCAAACTAAAAAAAAAACTGAATATTTAATAGTTGACCGTTGCATTTTAAAGGAAGGAGATGGTCCGGGGTTGCGGTCATAAATAGGCTAAATAGTGGTAAAACTATTTTATCGTTGGCTTTCAATAAAATAGTTTTACCACTATTTAGCCTATTTATGACCGCAACCCTGGACCATCTTCTTCCTTTAAAAAAAAAGCTAGTTGTTCTGTAAAGGGCTAACCAGAGCAATAAAATTGCAAAAAACTGAAGAAATCTTAATTTGATATATATTCTTCAGGTCACATCAATTCTTGTTAACTCTATAGGTAGTTAATAAACTAGGTACCATCACAAGTGTAAATGATTACATAAGAAACAAAAATATTGGGTATGCATGTGATAACCTTATTACTGAATCAATGCGACTCTCCACAATACTTTTAAGTAAGACTTTTACTTTCACTTAACTATATATGCAATATATGGTAAGGGTAAGTATTGCGATCATGAAAATTTTTTAATCTGAGTTTTCAATGGAAATACATGTTTTGAGGTTTCTCGAGTACAAATAACCAAGTCCCGCAAAATGGTCTGTGTCTGTGTTATCAGTCTAAATCAAAAACGAAAAGATTTATGAAAGTGAAAATGCATATTTAAGGTTTTTAGAAGCTTTCAATGTTACAGCAAAATTTTCGGCAAACCGCAAGTGGTACTTAATGGATTATATAATCGTTTGACACAGTTTTAAGATTTTCTCAAAAATGGCTCTAACGATTTTTAACTCGGTATATCAGTTTATTATTATAAATAATAATTTTTGAAAACTGATAATGTAAATCACATGTTTTCAAGAAAATTAAATGAAATTTACTAACTAAATGTAAACTTTAAATAATATTTTTATGTTTGTAGAGTATTTAAAATCCACCTAATCAAGCTAATGGCATTGTTAAAAAAACTATTTCATTGCACTTGTATGAAAGAAGAAGTAAAATATAAAAATCATTTCATGGCTGTATAAAGCATATGTTAATAATCTTAAATATATTTACTGTAACTTAGTGATTATAGATCTGATATATTTAAATAATTAGGTATCAAAGTTTATTCCGAAAAAATGTCATGTAACTTTTTAGAAAATTAAATTAGTGAATATAATTTGATGAATTTTCCCTTTGTGAAAGAAATATCAACATTATCATATCTTCCTCTAAAGTAATACCTTTAATTTGGTTTATTATAAATAATAACTATTTATCATTGTTAGGAGTTATGGAAAAATGCTAAATATGACTTTTGGAAGAATATGGTAATTAAATAAGGGAGAAAAAAGTAAAAATACTTATCCAGGTTGAAAATGAATCTCCGGAAATTCTATTCAGAAGGTATATTTAGAAAAAACAATATCTAATATAGAAAGTTATAGAAGGTAATGAAAAAAATATAAATAATGACATGTTTTGAAGGAAATTAAATAGAATTTTGTTACTAAATGTAAACTTTAAAATTTTTTTTTTAAGCTTGAAAAAGTATTCAAAACCCACGGATTCAAGGCAATGACATTATTTAAGATACTATTTCATTGCTCTTGTGTGAAAGAAGAAGTGAAATATAAAAATATTTCATTGATACGTTTATAACCTTAAATATATTTATTGTAGTTTAATAACTCTCGATCTGATATTATATTTAAATAATTAGGTAACCTTTTATAAAATTAAAAAGTGAATAATTTGATAAATTTTCCCTTTACGATATATCAACAGAATCAACTTACAATTAGTGTGACAACTTTTGATCCGTCTATGACAGACAATGCAAATCTCTTAAGTAAATTTTGCAATATAAAATAACAGTTTAATAACTAATAGTTGTACAATCCAGTGATGTAATAAATAGGACTTTTGTTATTTTAATAGTATTTATGATTTGTTAGCTGCAATCTTAAAAAAAAAAATTATAAAACGGCCAGAAAATAATTTCTATTTAAAGATGAGCGGTAAGTGAAAGTTTTGTGTTTGGCGCACCAATTTTTTTTATTTGAAATAATGAATCATTTAACATTAATCTTTTATATAAAAAATAGTTAAATATAAAATATGAAAGAATTCGATAAGTAACAAGGATAATAGTTGTAATAGAGGATTCAAAGGAATAAGAGTTGCCCGAAAGATTACAACAGGCTTCCATACATAACATGAGCTTCATATAATACGCACTCCAACAATATTATATACATATACAAACGAGGTTTTCATAAATGCTATTGTTGGTATTATTTAATTGTATAGATTAGTGCAATATAAAAACTAAAATTTGTATATATAAGGGTGATTAAACAAATCAAAATACCCACAATGTATTGTAAATAAATATAGCATCAATAATTTTTACTTTTACTTCCCCTTTGTTTGAAAACACTTATTTTTGCTAAGAAGAGGGTGGTAAGTAAAAGTCGTGTGATGAGCGCACCAGATTTTGTTTTTTGTGTATGCAGGAAAGAACAAATTTCAAGGCCATGCCAATAATATTTTCTAGATGTCTCAAAACATTGTATCAATTATGATTTAAAATCATTTATTTCAAAGTAATTTATTATAAATGACTTGTTTATTTCCAAAGTGAACCATAATTATTAACATTGACAGATTAAGTTGGAACAGAAAAAAATATATTTCCTACCAAAATTGTAATATCAAAACCAATATATTTAGATAAAAAGTAAAATAAAAAAATCTTAATTTGTAACAGATATTCCTGAAAATCAATCTCGTTTTCCAGAACAATTAGACTTCACTTTGGAAATAAGTGATTCAATTACTAAATCCAAACATGGATCTTTATTTGGGTACATTATTTTAGCATTGAAAATATATATATAAATGACAACAGGAAAACAACTGCATAGATGAAAATATTTAATCAACATGTCTGATAAAAAGAAAGAAAAAATTGAAACAATATATTTCTACATCATTTCGTACAAAATATTGTTCCGTTAAGAATAGGAACTACAACTTAACAAGGTATGTAATGAAAAATCAAATGCTTTCGATAATGGAGAAATCAATTTTAGAACACTACAATTCAATACGGAAACAATAACAATACAGAACAAGAGGGATAGATATACAAGGTTTTTAAAGATACTAACAATCAAACTGGTAAGTTTAATTTTAATACAAAATCCGTTGTGTGTTAACTATACAAGTTGCGTATAGCATAAATATGACAAATAAACATTTTTTAATTTTTTTTTCTTACAAATATAAACAATAGCTGACATAAATGCCAAGTGTTTCAGTTGTTAAAGATATTAGGAATAAAGTTAACTTTCTTACAAGTAAACGTATAAGATAAAAGGTTATGTTCAAAGGGTTCCATCAATATATATTTTATCTAAATCATTTTTTCATCAATTTTTATTTAATTTATTGTCACAATGTTTCCTTCAACAAAAGACAAAAACTCAATTATTTTTAACTTATTTGTTATATACACAAAACTTATAAAATAAGGACTGCAAATAAGTGAAAAAAAAAAAAAAAATTAACACTAGTGCCACAGACAATTCTGGCTGCATGTAGAAGTCCATGTCATTCACACAAACACCAGGGTTAACACAATATTTTAAAATGGTTTGAATTCACAGTTCTGCAGGAAAAATTTCCTTCTTCAGAAGGCTACTAAATTCACAAAAACGGTATAAAGTTCGCAGCTAGCTTTAGTATATTCATTCCTGAAGGACTTCCTCTAGTCTCGAACTGTTAAATAAATCGCGTATCACATAGAGAAAGGACAGCAGCAAATAAATATACATTTAAGTTTTCTTTGAGATATGCACTATTTACAAGATAATCTGCCACTTACAAATATATATTTGAAAAATTAGTAACAGGAGCAATTTAATAAATGCCTTTTTTTATTTATATACTTTTTTTTATTGCTCCCTCTCATATTCAACGAAGAGGAGTCAATTGTTATAAATAAGACATCAAAAACTGGTAAATATAAAATCACGTTAAAGATATGTACATACAATACAAACTAAAAGAAATTAAGAACAGGAACTATTTTGACTATTGTATCTGATCTAAGACATAATGCATGGGGCGGGGCAGGAGCTGGCGGTCACAGTTAACAAAATATTTTCACAAGAACAGCTTTTAGAAAAATGAACATTAAAGCACTTGTTTTCAATTTATTATGCCCCATTCAATTAATACTTATTAGGAAGTTATAGTACTTTTTACAAATTGCTGGTTTTCTTTTTTTTTTTTTTTTGATTTTTTTTTATCTTTCCTTTTTTAGTCCAGTATGCATTGAGCTCTGAGATAGTTCGACGAGATTTTTTTTAATAATTTTTTTTCTATTTTTTTGTTTTTTAAATTTACTTTTCACTTCATCCCTGTGAAAAAAGCCTCCCCTCGTCTTAACTTTAGTCTGTTTTGTAAGACAATTTCTTTCCTACTGAGATAAATAATGAATTCATCATCCTTGGTTGCTTGTGATGTTGAGTGCTGCCTACTGCTGCTGCTGTCTGTAACCCCCGCCACTGCCTCCACGATAGCCACCGCCGGGTCGCCCACCGCTACCTCCCCTACCTCGGCCACCTCCTGAAAAAAATAATAATTATCAGTGTGCAATATAAATCTTTTAAGAGAAATAATTCAACAAAAGATATGCACAATAACAAATAATTTTATTTATTTATTTTCTGATATAAAATGAGAGAATGATGAACAATACTGAATTCAAAGTAGTCACTGGCAAACTCTTAATTATCAAATTATTAACATCTGCCAAAAACTTTGTGAATGGAATCATCTCCAAATTTTTTATTTCAGAAAATTCTCGGTAACAAAGAGGTTTTATTAATTAATTCAATTAAGGTAATTTGATCACAAAATTGAAAAAACAAATTAAAAAAAAGAGGCCTGAAAAAAATATGGGTCCAATATTTTTTTTTTACGCCACCTTTATTCTCGATTTTGTCATCAAATTATCTTAAGATTCGAGTGGAAAGAAGCAAATGGGTGTTCATGAGTTTTTAATACCAAAGCAAATAAAGTTTGCGGATCTCTAGAATGAAAACGTCCAAATTCTGAGAACTTAAAGCGGATGTTAATAATTTAATAAAAAGGGGTCTGTGCACCACAGACTATTATTTTTAGACTACTCACGAGATTAAAACTAGACCAAACAGTATAACAAGGATCGACTGCAACTATTAAATTATTCTTAAACACTTAAAATGACATCACATCAAATAAAAAGCATATTAACATAAACAGGTTAAACTCAACTACTCAAGAAACTTTCCTTAAATCAGATATGGTAACATTACTTCCACATATTACCATCCATACTGGCCATTTAGTATTCAAAATTATAATACCAAATATAATTGAAAATTTATGTGAGAAAATATTTTAAGTTATTGAACCTTATTCTAGTTTTAATTTATATTAATAAGAATAATTGGATCAGAAATAGTAAATTGATTTTTAAAAATGTTCATAATGAATGAAAATATTGATGAATTCAAATTACAAATACCCGTACTTGAAAATGTAGTTTTATAATATATAAAACTAGTAGGCCTGTACAAAAATTCGCAGAAAATTTTGTTTAGTGAAGAAATAGCAAAACAATATGGAAATAAGTAGTTCCTATTTATAATGTAAGAAAGGAATGAATATTTTTTCCTTAGTCGATTACAATATTCCATTAAACATAATAGACCAAAATATTTATACAAATTGCTTTGCTAGGACCTATTTTTAAACGGTGATTGGGAAGATGATAAAAGTAATAAAGACAAAATAATGCCCCGATCATAGGATAAGTCTAAATTATTGAAAAAAATAAAATGTAAGAACAACCAAATATCTTTAAGAAATAATAAAGTTAATATAAAAGCCAGGGGAAAAAAGTGTAGAATACTATTCTACTTCTGAATGCAAATCTTTAACAGGAAGACATTATTAAGTATGTCAAAACTAATGGACTGTATCTTCATTAATAAATGTCCGATTTTTTTTATTTGCAAATAAAGTTTCTTTTCCTACATAACTTTTTTCCAGAAATTTTGGGGGATGGGACTATTTTTGGCATGTGAAGGAAAAGAATATCTTTAAAATGAGTGGTCTATCATTGGATTTGATGAAGAATTGACGAAGTTAAGGCGTACCGACAAAAAAAAAAAACACCTTTTAGAAATAATATATAGGATTTACTCATATTGTGAATTCCATCTTTCATTTATTTTTATTACTTTGTTTATTATAAATATTTTGAGATCTAACCAAGTCTTCAGGATTATCTAACGTTAATTTAACAGTATATAATATTTCATGTAATTTAAATTTATAATAAAGTAATAGTATCACATAAATGCAAAAAGGAAAGGTATTCAGAGTAAGATAACTATAATTTATCGTATAATAAAGGTAGGACAGACAGGTTTACCTTGCCTATCGTTGGGTTGGCCGCCACCTCTACCCCTTCCTCCCCGCTCGCTTCTGCTTTGATATCCATTTTGGTAACTGTTTTGATCTTTGTAGTTTCCTCCGCCACTTCCATATCCTCCGCCTTCCCTATTGTTATAGCCTCCTTCCCTGTTGTTATAGCCTCCTGTTTATAAAAAATAAAATAAATATATATATATTATTAAAACTTATAGATAATTCGAGGTTCTTAAATACAATAACAGTTTTGAAAACTTGAATAAAACAAAGAAATCCAACCACATCATCAGGAAAATATATATTTTTTCTTCTTCTCAATTTACAACAGTCATTGTTGACTGACAACCAGGGATTGTTATAAAAATCAACATAGCAAATAAATGCCATGCCATAAATAGATTTATTAAGAAGACCTTGAAGCTAATAGTGAGACTAAGTTCATATGTGTTCTTTAAAAGTTAGTCAGTTAAATCTTTGCGGAGAATTTTATTACTGATGTGCTTGTTCTAAAGTTTTGGACACAAGTTGTAATATTTGTATTTATTTTTATTTTTTTTTTTTATGGCAATTCTATATATTAGTGAGACGTAAGTCCAAATCGGTCTCAGTAAATATACACATTATAAAGTCTTAGGTCTAGTTTTGAGTGATGGCTAATAAGAAGGTAATATAGTAACTGAAATCGTTTATCTAGTTCGATATTGTTTCCTTATTAGGGAGTTAAGGTGTAAAACCTTTAGACCATCAATGTCTGTGTTTAATTTTTGTTTGTCTGAATTTTATTGCGTTGTTCATAAAATAATGTAGGATTTTTAATTTTCTTAAAAAAAATCCCTCTATATACCTGCGTTTACTAGATTATTCATTTGTATGAATGTCAACACTTATTAATCCTCTTCTTAATGATAATGTTTCTTTACCTCAGTAGAATTTCGCTGCTTAGAAATAATTCAGTCTTTATTAAAATGTCAACACGTGATGATTTAGTTTTTCGAGTTTAAACTCGGCCGAAATAGAGCCCAAACAACCAGAAATATCAATCAAGTCTGGGATGAGAGCAGCATTAATGAGTGCACTGTTTAACGATCATTCAAAAAATTTTGGGAGGGAGACTTCAGTCCTGAAGACAAAGAAGCGTGGAAGGACAACTGTTCGAGAACTTGCAGTAAAACTTAACCTTAGTAAATCAACCGTCGATGACCACCTCAAGGCGATTGGACAGGTATAAAAGCTTTAAAGTTAGGTTCCACACATTAAACAACCACCAAAAAACAACCCTTTTCAGTCCAGAATCGTTAGTTGTGATTGAAAAGTGGATACACTTTACGATAGCAGTAGAAATTCTGAAGTGGCTCAACAAAGGAGAAGGTTACTGTTTGGTAGGCTTTATTTGGTATGATACACCACAGCTTCTTAAAACTTGGAGAAACCACCAATGCCAAATTGTATTTAAACCTAATTAATGCAATGTATCAGAATTAGGCAATAATGAAGCCATCTTTGATCAATAGGAAGGAGTCCATTTCGTTGCATGACAGCGCCTGACCACATGTCTCATCACAACAGTTTGAGCTTGGATATGAAACTCTGCCACATCCGCCCTACTCTCCAGACCTCTCACATACTGATTATCATTTTTTCAGACACTTGAGGACCACTACTTCCCAAGAGAACATGTGTAATTTTTGAGTTATTCTTTATTCTTGTAATTTCTGAGTTGTTCTTTTCTAATGTTTTTCGGGGTGATTGGACTATTTTGTCTGTCTGAAAGAGAAGGAAATCTTCAAAATTGGTGGCTCAATCTTATTATTTGATGAAGAATTAACGATGATATGGCTTACCGACGAAAAAACACCTATGATAAACAATATACTCCTCCTCTCTTTCGATCATAGGGACCTCATGTCGACGAAGTGAGACATGTATTCTAAGACAGTACTACAATTAATGTAAGGTTATAAGGATGCGATTTTTGCCTTGCATTATCTGAAAATAGTACGTATTTGGATGATATGCCCGAAGAAAATATCACCACCGTTCCCGTATTGAAGCCTAGCAAAATGTTTATATAGACTTTATTTATTTTAAAAAGAAAAACAAAAACGGAGAGTATGATTCGCTGAGCCCCAGTGAAATTCTGAATCCAATGGTACCCCATTCAGGGTGTTAAAGCATAATAGGATCTTATATTTGGTACAAAACCGATTTCGAGCCTTATTGTAATAATGTACATGGGAATCGTATAATAATTTGCAGTGAATTTAATATATTTTAATTTGCCTGGTAGAATTTCATTCTATGGGAAAACTTGTATCTTGAAGAAAAGCATTCCTTAATCAGTGACTTCTGTTTTGACGCGACATCATCCTACGGTCAAAAGTTAGTACAAGGTAATATACTTTATAATGTGGTATTTGTTCACACTGTTGAGGTAGACTTGAGAGAAATGTTTCTCTTAAAAGAGAAAATATATGATAAGATCTGTTTTCCATTAAAAAATAAATTAATAAAAAAAGGCAACATCAGATTGGCAAAAATCTCATTTATAATACAAATGAAGGGGAATCCAGAAATCATCATATGCTGCCGATTTTTATGAGAACAAGAGGTTTTTAGAAATAGCGGATAGCCTTAAACAACAAATATATAATATAAATTCCACATAAAATCAATTATAGTTGTTTTGAAACTTTAATATGATGAACCAGAAGTAATTGCAAATGTATAAATAAATGAAGGCAACAAAGAAGAGATATAGACTTACCCCTGCTCGGCCTGCTACCCCTAGCATTGTAATTCCCTCCTTTCTGGTTCCTGTCACCTCCTCCTCGTCCACGACCGCCACGTCCTCTTCCACCTTGCATTATAAATCCTGAAAAAAAAAGAACTTCATTGAATCCAACTAGTAACAATGGATTCACACATTTATCCCTGAGAATAGAACAAATTTATCATAGATAAGTATAATTTTATCTTCAAGTAGAAAATTCTTTATGTCCCAATCAACTTCTCAGAGAGTATCGGTTGTATATTTAATAGTGAGAAGGAGTTTTCGTGCATAGTTTAATTATTTACAAGAATATAACCCCCATTTTGGATGGACATTCCTTGGAACACAAGTAAATCAAGCTGCTTCATAGATTAAAATTCCTTCCATACAAATGTATTTATATTGACATAAACAACCTTACGTGTTTGTGCATAATTTAACAGTTTCCAAAAATATGACCCCGAATTTAGATGAAAATTCCAATAAGTATATTTCTTTTTAACACTTGTATTTATAATAAAAACAATTTTTTGTATAGTATGTTACTATATATAGAAATTTAATAAAGTGTTGGTTAAATTAGAATTTCATGAAAAAATTGGGATAAAATTAGTAATTCACAAAAAAAAAAAAAATAATCTAAGGAAAAGTGAAATAGAAATATCATTTTGAGAGGCAAGGGGGCTCCTAGATACGTATCTAGCAGATGTTCTCGAGCAAGAGTTAAATCCAAAAGCATGAATTAAGATCCTTTAATTGAAATTAACATCTCTTCATTAAAAATCATTAAAACTTCTAGCTACACCGAATAAAAAAAACCTGCACTACTAACAACCCATGAAGGGTTATGTGGGTTCAGTACAATGTGAGGAAGTACTGTTACAAGGCCAATGATAGTGCAGAGATATGACGGGCCAATATCACGCTCAACCGCCAGGTTTTCCCCCTTAATTAATTATGAGTACCCACTTTCCAGAGGCTGGGTTTGTCCCAGGAGGATCTCCCGGCCCCAGGGTCGAGCAATAGCTGATGAAAAAATTACTAGTCATCAGCCAGATTCAACTCTGGAATTCAGTGCTCACCTACTCACTAATTTAAAGATAAATCGTCAGTTTATTACAAAATACTAAGCACATTTTAGATGCAGGTTAAATTTCTATTATGTTTTTATGAATTTCGATCTTGTTTATCCATACAAAAACACTGTAAATGCATAATATTCTGACTTTACATAGGGAAAATTCATTTAAGTAGATAATGATTTAATTACATGGAATATTTCTTAGTGACTTTTTGCAATAAACTCAAAATATTTTCTCTATACATTACTACACAATGACTCCTACTGTACCAGGTACAGTATTACACTTAGAATAACAAATTATAAAATTTAAAAAAAACTTCAAAAGGTGAGTACATCATCAAAATTATAACAATAGTTGTGGTGTTCCCTAAATAAGTTTGATGCTGATACCAACAGAACAAAAAACAGTGATAAGTAATATCATTTAAATAAGTTATAATAAATTAACATATTGGTTATAATGATCAATGAATCAAATCTTCAGCTTTCACTTATTTGTTATACTTTGAAGAAGGATATATAAGGCCGATTGATAACTGACCATCATTCTGTTGTGCTTGAGCTGGTTGGGTCCACTGCTGCTCGGCCTGGGTCGCCCAAGAGTCCTCAGCGGAGGTCGGTTCAGCTTCGCACCAATCGCTGCTTTCTTCAGCAAGAGGCTGGCTCGGCTGGAGGTGATGGCTATCACCACCTGCATGAGACCATCCTTTCTCTTCATCAGTTTGCTGTGGAAAAACAATTTTTATTTCATGAGCATCTTAAAAATGGTTGTTATTAATACATAATATGTAATTCCCAAAATGAATAATTAAGCTTTATTTAAAGAATTGAAACAGTGAAAAAGAAAAATATAATTAGTAAAAATTGTATATAAAATTACTACATTTAGAATATAAAATAAAATATGTTTTGAGGGAATAACACAGACTTCGACAGATGGAATTTTTCATTATTTGTTCTAAAAATGTACTTTGTTTGCATTATATATTTTGTATCTTACTAGTGTCAATAAACAAATTTTTAACTTAAAATTTAAAAGTATTGAGAGGCATGCTCTGAGTATTAAATATTACACCATATAAATTAAACTTACGTTTTGATATATTTGCTGTGGTTCTGGCTGTGGAGGACTAGGCACTACTACCGGAGCTGGCTGTGGAGCAGGCTCCATTGGTGTGAAGCTCTGGTTCGTGTAAGTCATCGTTGGAATAGAAGGAGGTGCCTCGACATGATCGGGAGTATCTAATTCGTTCTCCTAATAATATAGAAGTTAACATATTAATCAACCATAATTAATTATTCATAACAAAACAAAATATATTCACAACATTACAAAAAAAGTGAACAGGAATTTGAGAAATCATTCAAGTCATTGAGACCAAAATTTTTAGCAAATAGGACAAAGTGATAAGGACTATAAAACCAATTAAGTCAACTGTCATTATGGTAAGACAGATATTATATTGTGATGATATTTGTATATTATCGGCACCAAGTTAAAGTAACAAATTATTTTATTTATCTTTTTTTTTGGCCATGGTATCTTTGAGGTGATCACATCCCTTCAGTATGTGTTTCAGCAGTCTTTTGTTAGAGTGCAATCATAATTGTGGTATTTTAAATGGTGCAAAACAGTTTTCTCAAGCGAATTCATCAATCAAACATTTGAATATCATATTTGTCAAGATAATTATGGAACATTTTGGTAAGATACAATTTCCAAAGATAGCATGGTAATAAGTCCTAATGTCAACCTTTTTTTTATTAATTTAAAACAGTAACTGTGCGTAAACATATTCTGGCAGTTTATTAAAAATTTTTTTTGTAATAATTAATAAATTTTGTTTTAATATTTTTGTTAATGTATTTTATCAGTTACAGTAATGTATTGTGTTCTTATTGAATTCAATAATCTTGCACCACACCGGTGAGAACCCACTTGTAATTAACTTAGTTAATAAATAAAAATTTGTAAGCCAGAATTTTTTATTTTTTATTTACAACCCTGAGGAAAATACAAACAATATAGATAACAATTATTGATATAAATAATAACCTGCATGAAATCGATGGTGCCAGACTGGAAGACTCTAAGATGACTAGGAGTGAAGTAAGTAGTCTCAATAGCGTTGGGATTCCTAATCTCTTCAGGCTGCGCCAGCGGAGGCATGACAACGGGGACTGGAACGGGAACGCTGGGTTGGGGTGGCACCTGGGTGGGTACAACTGCAGCAGGCATCTGGTTCACGTGACCTGGAAATAAACAATATTCTTCAATGAAAAGACAATTAATTAATCACTAATTAATTATATTAATCAAAATTAATAATAACTAATTATAATTAATCAAATGCAAAGCAACCTCTTTACATCAGAAAGGTCCAAATGATAGGATCTAAAGAAGAGGGGTGTACACAAATTTTATGAATAAAATATTATATTTATACTGTCTGTTACAAGAAATTCATACAATTCAATTCTGAAGGTTATTATTGGAAAAAACAAAAACTTTAACAGAGAGAATTTCTATTCAAATTGTCGGGACAACAGCAAATTATTAACACTTATAAAAAGCGGTTGTGGTGTGCCCATCACATAAATTTTACTTACCAACTTTTTATACTTTGAATAGGTAGTAATTTTAAATAAATCAATAATTATATAAAATAATCTATAAATATATACCTGTCATAATTATTATAGAATACAATACATAAAATACATCTTTGGTGTAAGCTGAAGATGAATTAAATAACACATTACCATTTTCCTCTTTAGAATAAATCATTAATTAGACTGGGAATTCTACATATTAAGAACTACACAGCAAAGGGGCTAGGCTAAATCCTTATACTTCCAGACACTAGCGGGTTCAGGATTTAATTTTGGGGAGGTGAGCTTTAGCCCGAAAGCTTTTTTTTTCATAAAAATAATGATAATTACTTTGAAAAAAAAGAAAGAAACTAACTACCTATATGAAATGGTGTTTAAGTGATTCATAAAGTCCTTTTAAATATAATTACACGAACAATAATACTTTAAGAGATAATGTTTTAATATTTTTTCCATAAAACAAGGTTATATTTTACCATTTTTGGGCAGAGGGAGGAGGGCTTCAGCCTCAAGGCCTCTACTTCTGAAGTTCTTACCCTCTGCCCTCTGCTGGCAGATCAGAGCATTAAAATAAAAAGTAGCCTATACAAAGGACTGCCCATTTCAAGAGGTTTCACTTCACGTATAAAATAAAAAATGTTTTGATAGTTAATTCTAAGCAGAGCTAACTCAAAACATTATTCAAGTTCTAAAAAAAAAAATCTCATAATTTAGTAGAATAGAGTAAAACCCTCCAATTTTTGGCAACCTTAAGTAAACTTTAAATCGAGTGGATACTTTGTTCAATAATTCCGGTTCTGATAAGTCAGCACCGATCTCTAATTCTAAAATATATATGTAAAACTGAGTCTCTCATTTATATTTTTATAGTAAAACAAAAAAATGTAAACATATCTATAGGTGGAAATTTTCAGCACCTCTTACCCAATTTTAAAATTCTAAAGAATTAAATCTGGCAGATTTCGGAATCAAACAACTACATTTACAACAATATTGAGCAGGAATGTGTTTCTTGCAAAAAACACAACATACGTCCTTCCTGGACAACTACTGTCCGATTTCTAATCTTCAGTGATTTTTTTCAACCTATAAAACTAAATAAGTAGTAGGAGATGCAAGAATATGGGAGCGCAGGAGTGATTCATGCTTCAAATGAGTGCTCTTAAGCGGACCCTACACGGTAATTCATGAATGAACGTCACAAGAATGGCTAAGATTGCTCAGGATCGTTTTGATCATGAAGACCCCCTACAAGTTCAATCATTACTTATCGTTTCTGACACCAATTTAGCTCAGTTGTAAACAAAGAAATAGCATAGATAAGCTTATTTGGACATTGTCATTCATAATATTGGGCATCAAGAGAAAAATGGAGATATAATAATTACTTCCTAGTGCCTGAAAATCGTTTAGACCAAAGTTAGAAAAAAAATAAGTCAGCTACATACAAAAATCTAGGAAAAGTATTGCGATAATAATCAATTTGTTAAGAAAAATGGAAAAATTAATGACAAATAAACACAACAGTTAAAGATTTTTTTTCTATAAGTAAATTGTGAAGTTTCCACTTTTTTTTTTTTTTTTTTTTTTAAGAATAGAAATAGTTGAAGATGGTTTAAAAATATAAACAAGGGATATGAAATATTTTTTAACTATTTACTTATAATGAAAATCAGAAATTTATAATGGTTGTGAGGCCTAACCTATCCAGTAGTATGGTTAGTCTCCCCACTACTTTTACCTCAGTCCCCCCCCTACGCTTCTCGTGAATGAACCTTTGATTTCCGGATGTTCGGAAATCCGCAACGCACCACCTTCAGTACTTCATTCACTACCTTACACGATAATTCGGAACGTCATTAGTGCCTCGGAATACAATTCCGAATGACCATGTAGGGTCTGCTTTAGGACCAGCTCTAGACCATTCCTAATGTAATGTAATAATACAATATTCTTCAATAACTGCAGTTTTACCCAAGTTGGAAAAGGGCTAATGAAAAAAAATTCAAATTGGTTTTATCAACAAATTGATAAGACATAGTTTATAAAATATTGGTTCCAGAGCTTGACAATCACCTGCTATCAGAAATAAATAATAACCTAAAGAACTTACTGGGTTGAAAGTTAACAGTCATAACAGGAGCTTGTTCGATGGGTATGTTGACGGGAACATTTACGGGAGCTTCCTCGGCTACAGGAGGTACCACTGCTTGCTGTACTTCCTCGACGACTGGCTCCTGTAAAAATATTAAAATCATTAATAAGATGACGGTTATTCTTAGCAATCCAACTAATACAAAAAGATTAGGTTTATTGTTGTTATTTTTTAACTGTATAAAAATTAGGGTGAATGCACCAGTTATGGACAGATGACCCAGTGATGAACAGGTTGGACTTTAAATGTAAATAATAAGCTTCCTTGTTGATTTAAAGGTTCCCGTTTTTTTCTAGATTGAAGAACAATGCCCTCTATTGACAACTCTATGAACAAAATACCCAAAAGAAAATTTTAAAATGCCTATCATTGTTGTTTCTATAGTGCTCTTAAGATCAGTGTGTTTCATAACTTCCTACTAATAGTTGGAACATTTATGTTTACTTATCTTTATCATTATTTTTATAGTTAAATAAAAATTTAGAATTTTTCTGAGGTATGTCTATTACTGATACCGACCCCCCGTCCATTACTAGAACAATTGAAGTTCGGGGTGTACATGCATAAAGGAGTTTTTTTTAAAATGGAGATTACACGTGCATAACTGAATATATTTTCAATTTTAAAGTGCTAAATAGAAATATTTGGTATATCCACTCACATGACTTTCCTACCTATTTCAGAAAAGTTTTTATATCTTTACATATGTTCATGAAGAAACGAAAAAGAATTGTACTAGATACATTTTCCTGAAAATTGATCAAACATAAAATTTGAGTACGATTTATTTGACAAACTAAAGCAATGTAAACCGGCTAAAGGTAGATCAGTGTAAAAATTTCAATACTTCTTAATATTGATGATCAAAAAGTTTTTGCCATAGCATAGTATTGTGAAACAATAATTTCTGTTAAAAGTAGAGGAAATAGTGAGAATTGTGTGATGCGGGCAACAGATTTTCTTACTTTCACTTCATCATCTTTATTGTCTCATTCACCCCTTTCTGATATAAGGATAAGAAACCGTAATCTTACATTGGAAATTGAATAGCTGTAACTTCGTTAATAGTTGTCCAAAATGAACGATTTTTATATGGCTTTGTGGGGAATTCATCACCTTTCAAACGACAGGCTAAACAGTGCATTTTCTTCGGGACTCAGGGGGCTCTGAAACGTATAGATCCGTCGAAAACCGCATGTCGGAAATTTGACCCGATTGCAATACTTTCCTTACCTAGTATAGGTAGGAAAGTAAAAAGGAGAACCTAGAGATTCTAAATGTCCAACGGAAAACTTTATAACTGTAATAATCCGACGACATAAGCCAACAATTTTCTTAGCTATGTCCATCCCTAAAGACTTTTTCATTTTTAAAACAGCTATATATTTGATTGTCAAATGGAATATTTTTTAAAATAGAAAATACATCTTACTCTCAACATCTGTAAGGTTACTGTAAAGTTAGTGCAACAATAACTAATTAAAAAGAAATTGAACTGAAAGAAAAATCTTTATTTCAGGAAGTTTCAATTTTTAAAAGATTTGTGTTTTATATGAAATTGAAAATGTTTACGGAAACCATAAAACCAAATTTAAGACTTTGTAATTAAATTACTTTTTGTCCAGGTCTGTACCAGAAAATGATCATGAACAGCTTTGTGATACTGAATCTTAATTCATTCACTTTACTTTTACTCAAAACTTTGGTTAAGTTGAATATTTAATTTTAAATAAAATTAGAGATAATATTAAACCATACTTATAAGCATAACTCGTACCATTTAAAGTAATAAGAAAAATAAAATTGATAATATTTTTAATAATTAAAAAATTGTTATAGTTTAACAACAATTAGTTGCAATACTGAGGGATGAACTCTTGCTGCGCATGAATGTAGTGCCATATGACATATATAACGAGAACTGAATACGAAATTTAACATTAACGTCATTTTTCTGTACATCTGTTACAAAATATTGCAAAAATGAAAAGGAGCTGAAAATTGTAATTGATACTTACAACAGGTTCAGGTTGGGCATTGTCAAAATATCCAGACTTAGCTATGTCCAAAAGTTTAGCCTTGAGTGCTGCATAAGTTGTACCACATGTTTCCTTGTTCTTACCCTCTAACAGATGAGACATAACTTCTGCCGGACCTTGAAACATGTCCTGCAATAGAGAAAATTGTTTTCTTTTTAGGGAAATCAATGTTTAAAAAAAAAATTAAAAAAAGTAAATGTTAGAAAAAAGGATAAAATGAGATGAAGATTTAATAGGAAAAATTGAATCATTGTAATTTTGAGGTGTCGTGATAAGACTTTAATGCCACCAAACTTTGGTTTTCCCTTCTTTTTATTAGTCAGGTATGATATCAGCATTAATTAATTAGATATGAGAACAACTTAATTAAAAAAATTGTTTTAATCATTTTTCTTAACTCTTATTTGTTAATTTATATAATTGACAAACAAGAAATTTATCTGAAAATATTCTAGTCTTTCATCAATAAACAAAAGTTATTTAAAACATAAAATCCCTAAAGTTAACAAGAAAACTAAAAGAAAATATTGATCCAATTAACGGACCCACTTAATGACTAAAAAAAAAACTAACAATTTAATAAGTCCAAATAACCAACTGTTACTGGTTTTGTTTTTGTATTTACATTTTATATAGTTAATCACTCTTTAATACTTTGGTTGGCTTGTTTACTACACTCAATAATAAACAAATAATTATTCTTTTTTTTAATACATTGTTAAATTACATTATTTAACTACCATCACAATGACAACAGTTTTGTTTTAATCCTTTTTAAAGGAATTAATGCTATGTATTTTTTTTAATACTCATGAGTTTTAAAGATTATTTCAGAACTTCAAATGTTTTGGTTAAAACAACTTAGCTCCTTCCTACCCCCCCCCCTCATTCCTCGCCTTTTTGGATGTAGGATGGGGTTTTCCTGGGTCAGGAGATGGCAGAGTTAATTAAAAGTCCCTCTGGAACCGGGGTGCAAACTCGTAATTATTTTGTCATCTATAATATATCAGGTTGCCTGGGACAAGTCAGCCCGCTCGACCAACCCCCCCACCTCACTAATTTGCACCGGTGCGAAGTAATTTATTTATATGAAATAAATAGATGAAAATTGTATTACTTGATTGGAGGTATTTCATTGCAAACATCTCTCTTATTAATATATATATATATATATATATATATATATATATATATATATAAAATTTTTAAAAAAGCTAATATTTCTGGAGATATAAATAATTTTAGGTGTTAGACAAAGCAGTTAGAGATGATACTCAAGTGATTATGATAATAGCAGATATTGTTGATATAATGCACACTTAGGAAATAATAACCACTTGTGAAATAATTTTCAATGTTGTTTTTTTTTTTTTTTTAAATGGCAACATGCGGTGCTGGTGCACACGTTAGCCAGCTCGGTCAACCCCCCTTACTAGCTCGGTCAACCCCCCTTACTAATTTACATCTGTACGAAGTAATTAATTTATAAGAAATAAATAGATGAAAATTTTGTTACTTGACTGGAAGTATTTCATAGTGCATAGGGCTTTTGAATAGTGGTGCGAAGATTGTGATGTCACGAACTACTGACAGGAATGACAGATGGTGGGAGAAGCAAGTTCCATATCTTAGAGAGAGAGAGAGAAGGTAGCCAGTCGGCTAGAAAAGAGGATCGGTGAGAAGAAAATGTTAGTTAACAAATAGTGAGTGTCTACAACTAGACGAAGTCAAGAAAATAATAGAACAAGAGAAAGTTGTAGAAGTTGGATACAATATCAAGGAAGATTCACCGCAGAACAGGGTGAGTAAAATATAAATGGACAGTTCGAAAGCGTGACAAGAATAGACCCCGACAAACAATGGAAATTCATAAATGTGCTGAATAATTAATATATGCTTTTTTATTGTATAATTGAGGGCGTGTGTTAGTTGTCTCAACCCAACCTGGGAATTAATTATTGTGTGAAATGAATATTATTTGATTGAGAAATTGTTTTGTTTACTTTTTGAAAGGAACGTAACCTTACAATATACATACATAAAATTTAAAAAAACAACTAATATTTCTGGAGGTATCGCAAATAATTTTAGGTGTTAGACAAAGCAGTTAGAGAGGATACACAAGTGATTATGATTATAGCAGATATTGTTGATATAATGCACAGTTAGCAAATAATAACCACTTATGTAATAATTATCAGTTTTTTTTTTGTTTTTTTTTTATAAGGGTGGTAGAGAAAAAAATTAAATAGGAGATGGATAATGGAGTTTTAAGTGTATTATACATTAATCCAAAATAAAACTTTAGCAATGTCAGTATAGGAACATTTTCATTTATAAAAAAAAATGAAGGGGAATCCATCAATCATCATACATTGCCAGTAAATAAAATTTGTAAATTGTCAAAAACTTTTTTTTTCTTTGTAAAGCTCAGCTTGACATTTATATGCCTCATGGCAAATACTCTGAACAACAGGCGAAGTAACCTACAGAAGTTGTAACCTAGAGTGGCAATACCATACTTTTTTTTTTTATCAACAAATATTAGATTAGTTCTTTTATTTTAATTATTTGTGTTGAGTAATACTTATATCCTTATAGTAGGCCCGTGCGAATAATTCACAGAAAATTTTGTTTAGTGAAGAAAAAGCAAAACAATATGGAAATAAGTGGTTCCTATTTATAATGTAAGAAAGGAATTAATATTTTTTCCTAAGTCGATTACAACGTTTCATTTAACATAATAGACCAAAATATTTATACAAATTGTTTTACTAGGACCTATTTTTAAACAGTGACTGAGAAGATAGTAAAAGTAATAGACAAAATAATGCCCCGATCATAGGATAGTCTAAATTATTGACAGGAATCTTCTTATACCCTTTTTCCAAAATTATCAAGACTCATTTAAAATATTTATCAAGAAGAATTTTTATTTCCACTTCAGATTTGTGACAATCATCACAGAAAGATTTTTTTTAAGGAAAAAAACAATTAATAATCAGATAAGGCAAGCGTTCGGGAGTACGGAGGATGAGGTAGAACGTCCCTATCAAACAGTAAGACAGAAACTCTTACAGTTTGATTGGGACGTTTTATCTTAACATTTGTACTCCCCAGATTTTACCCCATATGATTATTACTTGTTTCATTTGTTAAAAAAAATCATTGATGATTGTCACAAATTAAAAAAATTGAATGAACTTATAGTACTGCATAATATGATAACTATAGCTGAACTTCCGTGTTTACAAATGAAACTTGATAAACAAATAAATTTAAAGTATACCTGGAATGCATTAGGCTCATCCCTTTTGGGGGTAAGCTCAATGAAGAGTTCATCTATTTGCTGCAGTTCTTCGGAAGTGACCGTTACTTTTGCTTTACCATGGAGAAAGTCCTCTCTAATAGGATCTTGTCCCATGCTCGTAAGTACTTCCTGAAACCATTATATTATTTTTAGATGGAAAAAATTGTTAAACATATACTTATTTATGTTCATAATAAATACAACTGTATTTAAAACAAAAAATATGTCAATTTCAAAGTGATGGTGATATTGATCTAAAATAAGCTTTAGCAATGTCAGTATAGGAACATTTTCATTTATAAAAAAAAAATGAAGGGGAATCCATCAATCATCATACATTGCCAGTAAATAATATTTTAAAGGACAAAAACTTATTTTTAGTGTAAAAAGATATAAGATAAAAATAAAATATAAAAAGATATATGTGTCGGTAATAGACACTTTAAGAGAAATTTTCAACATTAAAATGTACCACAGATCTTTGCAAATGGGTTTTATTGAAAGAAAGTTTGGTCTTTAATCGCTTTTTTTTTTAATACAGTCAATTAGTTAATTATTAATGAAAAACTTGAGAAATTCTGACAGCGCATTAAGCACCAGTAATAGACATTAAGATTTTTGGTCTCAATAGGCTTTTCTAAAAAATATAATTAAGAAACTTAAATTAAATTCTTCACAGTTTTAAACTAAGAAACAGCAAACCACAGATTAATGAATAAACATTTCAAACTATTTAATTGAAGTAACAAGGAAACCTTCTTAAAATATTAATTGCTAATCAGATACTGTGGTGGCATGATATCGCTCGAGGTTCATGCATCACCCTGTTAAATGTTTTAACTGCAAATCTACTCATATTTGCACTCTGTTTTTAGCGTATAAAGATCATATTCTGTTTATGAGTAGAAAACTGTCTACTTGTAGATTTACCTTAAATGGAATAATCTATTACTAAAATTATAACTATTCTTAATTTTCTAGAAACGTTATCAACAAACAGCAACAACCAGTAAAACTAAATTGATAAAAAAACAAATGTAATGAGGGAAGTTGAATGAATTTTGAACTTGATTGAAATCATTAGATAATAAAAAGAAACTGGAAAAAGGCACTGACTGGAAAAATTTAAAGACTACATATTAGCAAAGATAAGTTGGGTTAAAGAAACGTGAAGAGAACGGCTGTTTGATACCTGATAGGTCCGGCTTTATCTTAATAATATAAGGCTTCTGCTTTACCAGCTTCAAAATATTCACATAAAAAAAGTCTTTCAATTTTTTTTTTTTTTTGTTAGGGAGTAAAATTATTTTTGTTTAAAACATAATTTATAAATAAATAAAAATATACATATCAATTTTTTAAATAATAGTACAACATTCCGTCAAAAAGGAGTTGAGACAATGTCAGCATGGGAACATTTTCATTTATCCAAACAAATGAAGGGGAATCCATCATTCATCATACATTGCCAATAAATAGTTTGTATAGACAAAGAATTATTTTTAGTTTGAAAAGAAATAAGGGGAATATTGTGGAATTTAATATTATAACCATAACTAATCTTAGTTTAATATGACTCTTATCAACAAGTAGCATTTATATACATATGCATGGTCACAGATCGTTGATGCCCAGTTCAACCTCATGGTTAGATAGTAAAACTTGACTAAACTTTTCCAGATTCAAAATATTCAACCAAGAAGTATTTTTCAGTCATTAATTTTTATTTATTTCTACTCAGTTGTCTGTGATTGATTTAAAAAAAAAATAATACTTTTTATAAATACATAAAATAAGTTACTGTAAATATATATATATCAGATATTTCCAATTTTTCTTTTTCCGTACACATACTACAATTCATCAAAAAGGAGTTCAGGCAATGTCAGCGAAGGAACATTTTCATTTATTAAAGCAAAATGAAGGGGAATCCATTAATCATCATACATTGCCATTAAATATAATTTGTATGGACCAAACTTTCTTTTTGATGTAAGAAGATATAAATGAAATAACTTAATACTAAAACCATAACTATTTTTAGTTTCATAAGAACCATTATCAACAAATGGCATTAATGTATACATTTATATATATATGAGTATAGTAATATAAATAAAAGTATAGTAAAATATGTATAGATTACAGATCATGAGTGCCCACAGTTTGATCTTACAGTTGGGTAGTGAAGCTTGACAAAACTTTTCCAGCTTCAATACATACATCAAAAAAATATATTCGTTTTGTTTTTTTGTTATTTTTACCCAGTTGTCTTTGAATAAAATATTCTGTTTAAAATGTGTTTTATTGGCATTTACATATAAATAAAACAGGCTACATTGTAATAATAAATACCTCAAATTTATACTATTTCTTTTTTTTTTTTTTTTTCTCCGTACTGGTACAAGTCATCAAAAATGAGTTCAGGCAATGTCAGTATAGGAACATTTTCATTTATAAAAACAAATGAAGGGGAATCCATTATTCATCACACATCGCCATTATTTAGAAAAGTATAGTGTTACATCGACAAACGCATGACAGTTATTAGAAACATGTATATATTTAATTTTAAAATGTACCTACACCGAAAATTTATTGAATGTTTGAAGTTATATTTTATAACTTCAAACATTCAATTATTATTCAATCAAACATTTGGATTTGGGATTTATAGGACTTTAAAATGTCAAAAACTGTAGAATCATAAGACTTGAACGGAAGTTCAAAGAGTTAAAATCTTATAATTAAGTTTGTGAAGATGAAATAATAATTGCAGGTATACTCAAGAAATTATAATTTAAATAGTTCATAATAAATTTAATTCATTAAAAAAAAATTAAAAGAAGAAAGGGCTTTGCAAGGCGAGAGTTATTCAATGAGATTAATGAATTAATCATAATAAACGAATAAAATAAAAATAGATTAAAGCTAAACAAAAGTGTATATAATTGGTTATAATAATAAATTTTATAGCCATTAAAGTTTAATTTGTTTCTTTATAACTATAGAAAAAATACAAAGGTGTGTTAGAGCATGACGACCTTGGGCCTCTGGAATCTACTTAAATTAATTAAAAATTTATTGATTCACCACGACAAACACCGAAATAGTCTCCAGGTGTTTACATAGTAACAGCAAACATGTAGTGTATTCGATTACATTAATTACTACTGAGAATAATTAATTTCTATTAAAATCATCATAAAAACCTACACTTAAAACATTATTAATATGCTGGTATTAAAAAATTGTATTGGACTTTAAAATGTAAATAACTGTAAAATCATATGTATATCTAATAAACTTACGTTGGCAAAAATAGGATTTAACAAAACCTGACACGTCCTGTAAGACTTGAACAGAAGTTCTAAGAGTTAAAATCTTATAATTAAGTTTGTGAAAATGAAATAATACAAAAAAAAAAAAAAAAAAAAAAAAAAAAAAAAAAAAAAAAAAAAAAAAAAAAAAAAAAAAAAAAAAATGAGAAAGAAAAAATTACATTGTTTAATAAAAATTCAATAGTCTGCATCACTGCATTTGAAGTGAAATATGACTGTAAATAGAAAAAAAAAACTTGAATACAATTCTATAGGAGCAAGAACTATACAATTTTCAAACATATATACAGGCAACTGTTGAACTGTGTGTTACAGATTCATGACTTTATAATTTGTTTCTCAAATAATTAATTTTAGAGAAAAAAATTAGGGCATTAGTTCACAAATATCATGCCCTGATGACACACCGACCAAGATTACATGATCGCACTGTACATGGAATGCCAAAATTAGTTAAGTTTGGTCGAAATACTACGGAGGCGCTTTAGCTTCAGAATCTTAATTCCCCATAATTTATGGAAACAAATTCATGCACTCCTATTAATAAATACAGATAACACTGAGAAGTAACTTACTCATAATATTGATGTATTATTGTGTCCAGATTATAGAATATCAATATTGAGCATGATTTTCATATTCATACAAGCTGAAAATGATAATCACAGAACCCTCTCCCCAATACTTTTTTGGGTTTATAAGGATAGCAACTAGCAACAATAATTTCAAAGACAAGTATTCTAAATAATAAATAATAGTATGCCAAGTATAGTAAAATAAAATAAATTAAATTTGGGAAACAAACAAAAAGTTAAAACAGTAAAGACTAACTTAAGCTCTGATATTATTAAGAAATATAACAAACATAAATTTTATGTATTTTAATTAAATTGTGAATAAATAATAATTTATTTGTTATAAATTGTTAAAAAGTGAATATCTTGATGTTCAAGAATAATGATAAACTAAAAAAAGACATTTCCTAAAGTGAAACCATAATGAATAGATATAACGTAATTCTATTTTACCTGATGGAAAACTAAAATAAAACAACATAATCTTTTCAAAGAATAAAATTTCAGTATAGAAATATTTAGTCTAATATGGAATTGATAGGAGGAATTTTATTGGACACTCTTCTGTATTCGGTATTCATATTAAGAGTGATAGTAATTATTTCAGTCCACGCATCACCATCATTCAGAGAGACCCAAATTGGTTCATTAACTAGTTTATAAATATTAGCAATATCAGATTAGGAAATTTTCATTTATAATAAAAAATGAAGGGGAATCCATCAATCATCATTTATTGCCAATAAGCAACCATTATTTTTCAGGACAAAAAAAAAAAAATAATAAATAAAAAAAAAAATACTACTGTACAAGTGTCAGTCCACATTGAAAAGTGGCGCAAGATCACACCATAAATGAAATTCTGAGAATGACTAAGTGATAAGTAGAGGGAAGTGACTTAACAGTATGAAAAGGACCTCATGTCAACTGAAAAGAACCAGTGAGGAAATAGCCTCCAGTCGGTCTTAATAAACAAATAAACATCTAAAATCTGTCGGTCTGATTTATCGGAAAGAAGATTATACTATGAAAACTTTGTCAATCCTCGACTATGCTAGGAATTTAATTTATAGTATAATTATGAAATTCTTGGACATCTCATTAAAGAGTGATATTTTTCTGGTAGTGCATAGAATTTTTAATTCATGCTAAAACCATTGAAAAGGAGCAAAATGTGCTACCACTCATTAGACAATGCGACATTGAACAGTATACATGTACTTACTGAAGTTTACAAACATTTGTATATACCTTACTGCAACAAAATAAATAATCAAAAATATATAGTTTAAATACAGAAATCAATAATCAAGAAAAATAAATTTAATTATTTAGAGTTTGCCTGGCAGACTATTATAAAAAAAAAAATTGCAAATCTAATCTCTAATTACACTACTGTTATTGTGATTAATTCTTTGACATGACATATATAGTATGAATTTATACATGATCTAAAGGTATGATATTTTGTATTATTAGCAACCTTGCTAGCTTAAATATGTAAGTTACATATGAAATCACTAAAATAAATAATATCAAAGCAATAATAAGCTTAATACAAAAGCCATATCACTTTCAAAAGATTAGCAACCCAAAATAAGTAAATTATAAACCATTAAATAAGAAAAAACAAAGGAACATGAAACATTAAGTAGTCAAGAGAAGTTAATTATAATTTAATAAGACAAACTAGAACTTATGGGAAAAATTGAAACTAGTAACTATATAGAATGAAAATTAACAGTTTAAATAAGTTGTCGTGTCATTATAAGCAGATGAAATGGGTGTTTAGTTAATTAAATTAACTACCACTTTCAAGTAAACTTGGAAACCATAGTTTAAGGACCCTTGTACTATCATATATTATTTTACAGGCACTTTAAAATAGGAAATCAATGTGATATTACACAAGACATTGAAACCACCCAAGATAAACCTCAAGTAATGATTATATGTTCATTTACCTGTAACATTAACATTTCTTTAGTCCTGGCCAAATCCTGTTGTGCTTTTTCCTGTGCATCTTTCCTGGCCTGCTTCTTAATGTTTTTAACAGCATCCAAAGCTAAGCTAGTCAAATGCTTAGAGAGTTCTTTGGCGAATTCCAATTGTTGAATGACGGCATCATACTTAGAGATGGCTTCTAATTGATCAGTATTCAAGTCCTTTCCACTCTTTTGCAAATCACGATATCCATCCAATTTAGCCTAGAACGACAGCAATGGGTTAAACACGCTATTTGGTCAACCGATTTCGGCTTCGTTAAAATCAACATATTTTCACTGATAGCGAATACCGGCGTAGTATATTGAAAGATTTAAGCAAAACACAGTTAAAACTAATAATGAAATATAAAATCAGAGAAGATTAACGCCGAAAATGAAACCAATAAGCACATGGCAAATATGGCGTACTAAGTGCCAAGTACGTATTTGAGTCGCAATATAAGTCGTTATTTGAGATTGTCTTACCTTCCTTTTCTCCAGATTCCGTATTTTATGCTCTACCATCACAATACCTTGCCGTAAAGGGTCATTAGCGTCTAAAGACCCCTGTTTCTCTAACTTAGCTACAGCTGCGGTAGGCATTTTTCACAGGGATAAAGAAACAGACAAAATGCAAGCTTACAGTGTTGCCACAAATAGATATCGGTAGGCAGCGAACCTAGGGCACATCGTACAAGTTACCGATCTATTTCTATTGCCTGAAATTTGAAATCGTTTTCAGGAAAGGTCTTCACTTTTGAAAAAATGTTGATTAATTATTAAAATAATAATAATGGCCGATTTTAATTACATTGATTATGCTAACTATACCTTTTCCTTTCCACCTTTGCTTAGGTTATTTGAATTTAATATCTTCATTTGAATATGATATTTTAAAGTGCAGATCTACTGAATTGTTAGACAAGAGAATCCACAATTATTCAAATAGTTTGTGTCACAAAGATGAGTTAACTTGAAATGATTTAGACAATAGCCTTCTCATTATAATGCAGCAGAAGTAAGCAATCATAAAATTGGACTATGCCACATAAATACATTATTTGTGGAAATGGGATTAAGGATAATATAAACAAAATGTGTTTTCATTTCAAATATTGTATTCAAAATAACATAAAAATATACATTTTAATACAGTCAGACATTTACAAAAATGTAAACTTAACTAGAAAATAATAGGTGAGAAAGTAATAAAAGCTTATAATGATGAAGTAATCACTGTTATAATTGTACTAACTTTAACAAATAAATGGCTACAATTTTTGATTTGAAGTGAATTAAAGATTTAAAAGAAAAAATATAAATAGAAGATAACTAGTGGGAAAATTAATGTAAAAAAAAAATTAATGGAATGACAGTCTACAATATTGGTCCCAATATATTTGTGGAATTGACATTTTTTACTATTATGTGATTATTTTAAAAATACCAATTAATATTTCTTCTATATTTTAAGTACATACTAATTTTAAGTAAACTTAACCAGAATGAACAATGTTTTTTTATATATATATGTATACTTTAATCAATTTATTCATTGTTTTGAAAATTAAAGAGAAGTTTAAGAAAAAAACCAAAACAGCATTCAACCATTTTATCAAGAAGCAAATAAATTTAACAATTACCAAATAAGAGTTTAAACAGATTATTAATTTTATTTTTGAGTTTTAAAAATTTAGCAATGGATATTGCAAGAAGTACAACCATTTTTTCTTCAATGTTTATACCAAGTGGAATTTTAAGTTCACCAGTTTACAAAAATAAAAATATTTTTTTGAAATCTGTTGAATTATAAATTAAATAAGAACAAACAGGTTTCTGATTTACAAAAAATTCTCAGAAAACACACATCAATAATCTTACTATCTACTATGACTATTAATCATGAAGTGATTAGAAATATAAAATAAGGTATGAAGATCACTTATAAGAAATAGATCATCGAAATTCAATAAAGTTTGGTATTTCTAAGCCAAAAGTAAGCATGGCACAGAAATAAGTTCAATGAAACTAAGCATAAAAGAAATCGGCGGAATATAATTAATTATCACATTTTTCATGCTTAATATTAAAATAATTATAAATAAATAATTTTTTTATATTTTACATAATTTACAACCAATTATCCATAACTTATTCAGTTTTTTTTTATTTTTTCATATTCGCCTAGCTCATGTAAAGAGTTACATATATATTTTTTTATCTATATACAATGTACAGCATAACAAAATATAATTTATCAGCATTTACTAATTTACATATTATATGTAAAAATATGTATTAAAAGTGGCACATGATAAGGCTTTGTAATTGATAATTAATTATTGTATCTTTATATTGCCAATCACACACAATAATTGATAAATCTAGTAAATATATTCTACATACAGGTATCACATATAACAATAAACACGTGAGATACCTTCTTAAACATGTTTGATTAATTTTTCTACAAGAAGTAAAATATTTCTAACTAATTGAACAAACAATATACGTATATATAAAATAAGAATAAAAAGAACACAAAATTGATACAATTTGATATGTCAAGAAATAGTAATTTTTATACCAATAATTAAAATTAGAAAATAATATATCCGATTTCTAAAATATACAATAGAAATTGTGATAGATAAATTGAGCTAGTTAAATGAAGAACTCATACCATACAAATGACCATGGCAAGATATAGGAAAATTCAATTACACATGTTAAAAATATATAATAATCAACAATTTCAATAACAATTATAAACATCCATAATTAATGACAACAATACGATTGGCAAGAATATATAAATTGGATATATGTACATATACACAGATACAGTGGCATGCATATACATCACACTTAAAGTATGCATGATTTTGGTTTTTAACTTTTTTTTACATTAAACAGAAAAATATAATTGGTACATATTTTCCTATAAATACTAAAAGAGTTTTTGAGGTAATACTGATCAGTCAACCAATAGCTGTGAGAGTTGTTGGTGTTTTGCTGGCGTATTCAGTTCTGAAAAATTAAAAATGACAAAAATTAATATAAATCAAAGATTAAATTAAATAAGGATTCAGGTTTCCATCTCTTTAACAGTATAGTAATTCATCAAAACCATATTACTGAACTCACATTATATATATAAAAGCAGAGAGGAATAAAAACAAAATTAAGTTTACATATTTATTGTTATTCTTCTAACCATTAGATGTTCGGTCAGACAGTTTAAGGCACCATATGATTTATCAGATTGAGCAAATGATATCAGGAAAAAAAGGATAATGAGAAAACATATGCATATTTTAAAACAGGTTAAGTATATAACATATCTAATTGTCCTGCATACTTCACACAAACAATATACAATCACAGGTTATTAAACCATCTTTGTATATTATTTGTCAATCAGTTTGAGAGACGGGTCAATTAAACTAATCATATGATTGTATACATAAACCATAGGAATTGTCATCTAACCTAATATTAAAAAAAAAAAAAATAAAAATTAATACTATCCAATATTCTAAGCCTTATCGAACCCCAAAATAAAAATATACAAAGAAAATCTTAAATCTGATATTCTGTTTTATTCATTAATTTGTGAAATTATAAAAAACACAAGGGGAAAATACTTTATAAAATCTAAAAACTCTTGTCATTTTAAATAAATATATGGAACTCCCTAAATCTAACAGAGGTGCTGAAAATTTCCAATTTTTCTTGATTAGTAGAAGAAACTTTGGACATTTCAGTTTTCCAGTATCATTCTGATTTTATATATATATTTTTAATTTATAGTTGGACTATTGCTATCTCATCTTATAATTTATAGGAATTATATTATTTTATTATTTGACAAATTAAGTTATTGAGGCCACAACTTTTTTAATAAATAAAATTGATTAGAAATTACCTGTAGATGGATGATGTTGAGGTAGATCTAGACCAAGATACAAGAAAGTTTTCATCTTTAGGAGGCTGCATTTTAAATTCATTAACTGCCCGTTGTATTTCACTAGGCCACATGATTTGCTCCAAACAATGATATGCATACCTAGAAAGAGATAAAAAACCAATATGGCATCAGTAAATTTCTTAAAAAGTGAAGTAAACCTTTGTTAGGTTAATTAAAGTTTAATAACGCTTCAATAAAATTTTGAGTTACTTGAAAAGTATGAATGATATAGAGGAGGTTGAGGTAATCCCAAGACATTCAATTTAAATGATTGAATACACTTGATATTTAAATATTGCATAATTCATCCCTCCCAAACTTTAAAGCGTAGTTTCCACGATGAAGTTACAATGAAAGTTGCAGCAATGTTCATTATAAAACTGTTTGAGATTTGCTGTTGTACTATCAGGTTGTACTTAGTAGTTGACAGTAAAATCTGTCACGGATATAGCAGCTATTTTCGCATTAACTACCATGTGTAGACAACTACCAATGAACTGTTTTACTCTATTCAGCCTAATCAACTGTAATCGTAATTGTGAGATAAAACTTTCTTCTTATGTATTGTTATTTTAGAAACTGATATTGATTCTATCGAATGATTTTAAAATATTCAATTCTTAGAGGAAGAATAAAATCTATAGAATTTAGTTGTTTATTTCGTGTGCTTACCATAAATTCCTTGGTATTAGAAATTATTTATTTTACATTAAATTAGGTCGAAATTGTTTCTAGATGTATTTTTAAATAAAATGAGTTCAGCTAAAGCACACCTATTGTTACGCTTGGTAGCGGGAAAATGAGATCATTCCTCAACATGAGCGCTAAATCTTCCCTCTCCACACATTCAATTTACATTTTGACCGGAATAACTATAAAACACAGGTTCTTTTCAGTTTTATCATAAATATCATTATGTGTTGGAAAACAAGAGTTATTAATAAATTTGTATTTGACAAAAAATCGGTGTCTCATTTTGTTATGAATATGAAAATGAAGCATCTAACATCTTAGTTTCAATCACTTTAAATAAATGATAATTCATAACTTTATTTTTTTAAAAAATAACTTATTTTATGAGAAACATTTTCAGTAAAAATACTTTTTATTTGTGCATATCGATTTTGTATTATTGCTTTATTCCTTTGACAACACATTTTCACAATGTTCTCACTTAAAATAATTACAGTGTATTTGAGATTTTCTTCAATTTTTTTTTAATGAAAGTACAAAAACACGTGGCAATTTTCTTGTACTCAACTTCTTAAAAGAGGGTTTCACTAACCATAGGGGAGTTCACGCCAACTTAGATTTTGTGGACTTTATTATTTCGCAAGATGTAGTAGATATCAAGTTCGAAGGTGTGGTTCACAAAAAACAAAACTCCTGGTATGCGGTTAAAACAATATATATCCACTATTATTTCAAAAGAGAAAGTCAATATACAAGCCGAATAATAATAAAAAAATGGTGAAACAGCATTAAAAATAAATACAGAACAAAATTGAAAACAACTAGAGTAAGGTAACTACTTTTTGAAACATTGAAGAGGGAACATTAGTGCCAAATTAAGTTCACAGGAGTTCACACTTAGACTATCAAATAATTATAGAGGCGCTGAAGTTGAAATATTCTATCAGCTGCTGTCACAACAGGGTTTAAAGCCTGAAGGATAAAGAGAGTAAAAAATAAATTCAACACGTTAGCTGTGGTCACGGTCCCCGGGTTCTGATATTCATCTCGACTGCCAAGCAGCCAGAAATGTTTTGAATTTTGCCTTAATCGTACAAAATCTCTAAAATCATCATTTAAAAAAAAAATTGAATGGGAGTTGGATAGATGTAAAGATAAAAACATAAATAATCATTATATCTGATGTAAAACTGTAGGATGCCGGAGACAGATACTGTCCGATACATATCCTTGCCATGATAGGACAGTGCACATGCGTGGTGATTCAGATAATGTTTGGAATGTTGGTGGTAAATTCTTGGATCCTCTTTAACATAAAAAAAGAAAAACCCATATCAATTACAAAGTTCCGATTGGTTCTCATAACTTAGCGCCAACTACCCTCACAATGTCTGGTGCGTGCATCATCCATTCTTTTATTAAGCCATCAGGTGAGGGAAGAAAACAACTAAAGCAGTGCAGAGAAATCTACAGAGAATTGAGAAAGACCCTAGGAAGTAAGGAGGCAAATAATAAAACACGGAATCACTAGTTTTTGTGACATCGGTGAAGTTATGCCCGGATTCTGTTTGCCGAACTTCAATCAGTATCACAAACAGTTAGCAACTTACTACTTCGCTTTCGTTATTCCTTTTCTTAAAATAAATTCTAAAGTAATAGTGAATACCCAAATACATATATATTTCTAACATTGCCACAGTATAGTACTTATTATGTAACTTAGATTTTTTATATTCTATTTTCCATCTTGACATTGAAAAAGTATTACACAAATAATATATAAATTATATCATGAAAATTACAATTATATGTAATAAATAAACTTTTTCTCATTTTCAAGCTTTAAGATTTATATCCCTAAAAATAACACTTTTTAAACTGAAATAAAAAGAAATAATAAAAAACTGGTCATATAAACAGCATCGGGACATTGGAGTCCACTGCTACAATTGCTGGCATTAATGAGGACAAAATCAACAGATAGAGACAATGTATAGGGAATTTAGTTAACTTTTGTTGTCAAAAGATAGTGGTATATCTCAAAACTGATGAATGTCTCTAACGTCCGATGCTGTTAGGAACTTCATAACTAGTGTCAATCGCCAGGGAGCGATATTGTTAGGAAAGACATTTAAGAGATATCATCCTCCGCAGCTAAAGTACTAATGATAAGTAATAAAATTAGAATACTATACCGTATAAGGGATAAAATATTGAACAGAACAGATGGGAAAGATCTGTGATTATAATTAAAAGTCATACCTTAATCATTTTTCAATTAGTTGTAGGACAAACAAGAGGTTAATAAATAAAATTAGGAAACTGACATTTTTATTTACTCACAATACAACTTTATTATTATTATTTTACCTTGGTAAAACTGCAGTTATAGATGAGAAAATTATGACAAAATAGAATGTTGGATCTAAAATAGTGTTCCTTAAGACCCATGTATTTGATGAAAGCCCATAGCATTGCATGCAGACGAAGTTGTAGCTCACAAAGAATAAAAAGTAGGCACTTACAGAAACAAAAATTGAGGCAATATGTAAAATAGTCTGAAATGTAAATTTAAAAAAAATAAATATTAGAAAAAAAATCAAGATTAATAATTATTAAAAAAATAAAATAGTTTTATTTCAAATGATTGCTTACCCATGATTTAGTAACTATCATAGCTTGAAGAATCATGGCCAAAAGGCATGCAGTTGTAATCGTTGATCCGAATTCCCAAATTCCAATTTCTGTTTCAGTATATGCCTAAAAATTGGAGAAAAAATAATTAAACAAAATTGTTAATACTATTTAACACAATATGTTATTGTAATTGAAATAGCAAGAAAACTTACAGCAATACAGACGAAAAATATAACCAAACTTTGATAAATGGCATCAGCTATGGTGATCCAAAATAGATGAGCTTTATACGCAAGGCTGAGTCTCCCTGATTTATACAAATGAGGCCTTGACAGAAGTAACTTTTCTGGAGCATCTTTATCATAAACACCTGTACAAAAACAAAATAAATAAATAAATAAAAAAATAAAGATAATGTATGTTATAAAGTTTAAAGCATGTAATAAAATGAATAAATAAATACCAACCAATAGCAAGAGGAGGCAATGATGTGAAAAACAGGTTATACAACATAAAACACATTTGGTCAATCATTACAGTTCCTGAAAATCCACAGTAGAGCTGATACCAAAATATCAAAAAGACAAATGTCTGAAAAATAAAATTATTTATTAATCATAGATTAAAAAGTCAAACCGTAAAACATATATTTAAAAATAATAAGAGATAAACATACAACATTCTTGTAGAAAAAGTACAAGACCATGTTGGCCAATCGATGATAAGCCCAATGGCCATGGACGAGTAAAAGTTTATGAAGAATCCTAAATTTAGGTAGGGCAAAATCAGAAGCCATAACCGCATGGATACCTTCGCAACCTGATATACCAATACCGACATCTGCGGCTTGTATCATCGAAACGTCGTTAGCACCATCACCTAAGAAAGAATTTTTTTATTATATATATATATATATATTTATTATACTCATATAAACTAACCACTTCTGTATATTTATATATAAGTTTATTTATTGTCCTACAGATTAATGAGTATGCTGTGTATATAGCAACCCAATGTAATTGGGCAGCAACCTTTTATATTTTATATAAAAATAAAAAGTTTCTCTCTCTCATAAAATTAAAGTAGTTAGTCATGAGAAGTAAAATAATAATATAAATCATTTTTAAAAACAAAATTATATTTACCTATAGCAAGAGTTCTCATTTTAAGTTGTTCCTTCACAACTCTCACGATATAAGCCTTCTGTAACGGAGTGACCCGACAACATAAAACTGCAGTACAATATTTGGTCAGCTGGAGAAAAGGCCGAGTCAAATTGGAGCGAGGATCTAAAATAAATCTATAAGGAAAGAAAATATTAATATTTTAATTGTTCGTTTTTGATCAAATTTATTTACCTAATGTGGAATATAAATATTTGAATACCAGCTAATCAATTTAATTATAAATCTGTTTTATTTATTTAACTATTAATTTGTCAGAATGGTAACTGTCAGATATTGAATATGAATTGGATGGCCGACCACTTTGGGGGGTGGGTCCTGAAGGTTGTGGGTTAATTTCCAACTGGGTCGGCTAATTTTTATTTCTCTGCAGCTCCAAAAAAATGAATTTTGACATTCTCAATCTAGTGAATAAGCGGTAGCAACCTCAACTAGTTCCCCCCATCAGAACCCGTAGCTCTCAGACATTTCCTAGATTAAATAACTTCAAAGATTTAATTAAGTAATTAGTAATTTAAAATTTAAGTAATTAGTGTTAATTACTTTAGTAGTTCAAAATTGGATCACTTATTTTTTATTACGATTGATGAATAATTGCGCCACAAACACACTGACCAATAACCAAAAATAGGGTTTCTGAACTCAGAAAGTCATGAATAGTAAAAATATGTTGAAAACCAGATATCAAAAATTTGAACTGATTACCAAACTTAGTGAAAGGAACAGTAAAAATAATATTCTCAGCGATTAATTTATTTTTTTATTAACTTTATATATTGTATTACATATATAACAAAATAAATGGGCTATCTCATTAATAAAACATGTAGAAAACAAGTTATTTTTGTATTGGTAGAAGAGAAATAAAAAAAAAAAAAAAAAATTATATTATTTAGATTTAAATAAATTCTGACAGAAGGGTACTCACGTCAAAGTTTTTCCATCTACAATGACTGCCTTTTGCCGATTACTTCTTCCAGATCTTCCACTGACAGCACTATTACTTCTAAAACAACAAGAACAACAACATACTAATCAAAAATTATCCCTATTTATTAATAAACTTAACACATTATTAACAATTTGAGAATTTGAAATTTAAACATAAAGCTCCAAATTGAACATATACTCCTTCCAATAACATCATGTCTTAAAAAATATCATTTTTCATCAGAAGAATGATTTTAAAATAGAATAACGTTTGATAAAAATTAATTTGAAAACAATCTTGATTGAAATTTTTGATTACTGTGCTGAACTAATCTCTATATAATATTTTATTTCTAGTTTAAGAATGAAAAACTATATTATTATTATTTAATTATTTTATAACGCTAAAATGAAACTTCCGGTATCTAGTGATAAAATATTGAGTTAAAAATATAAGATCTTGTAGAAATATACCATTCTTTCAGTTAATTTTATATATATTTTAGGCCAAAGGTCACCAAATATACATATTTTTTGTATCCTGTATTTTTTATTCGACGTTTCGGCTTCAGGAGCCATTTTCAAGATCCATGCACCGCGCCATAAAATTTTAAAAATCTAAAATGGCTCCTGAAGCCGAAACACTGAATAAAGAATACAGGATATAAAAACTGTGTATATTTGGTGACCTTTGGCCTGAAATATATATAAAAAACTTATAAGAAAATGGCACCAAACCTGAAGGATGTGACTATAAAATTTTTCAGATTTTTTTCTCTCTTATAATTAAATCAAACCATTAACTATCTATTATCATACCAGGTATGTAAATATGTAACTAGAATTGTCATATAGAAAATATATGTTTATTGCATAGAAATGTTATCAAATATTTTATTCAAAATATTGTCTATCGCTAAATATACATTTTTTAGACATTTCACTCTAGCAATTTATGAATGCTGTGTGTGAAAAACTGTTGCTCTTTTTTGATGAACCATTCCATCAAGCCATTTTTGTACATTTTCAAATAAGTAGTAGTAGGATGGAACCAAATCTGGTGAATAAGCCACAATAGCTAATATTTTCCAACAGAACATTTCAATAGTTATCTTCACTGGTTTTACTGTCTGTGATGGTGTGTTATCATGAAACAAAATCACCTTGTATTTTTTTTTTGTATACTGTGTTCCTTTTTTTCACAGAATACTTGATTTAAATAATTTATTGTCAGTATTAATGGTTAAGCCATGTTTTAGTAGCTATTATTTACACCGACGTTCGTCATTCTTCATTTCTCACATCAAAATTGCTACTTTTGAATTTTTAACTCAAAGTGTGGTGTGATATACTACGAGGATGCTCACTGTAAGATTTGACAATTCTATGCAATTCTGCAACAGTTTTCTTTAAATGGTAATAAAAAATTATTACTGTCCGCAAATCATAGTTTTTTAGGGCACAGAACTCTACTAGTTAAACATTATTAAAACGAAGCTGTTATATGAAACTTGTATTGTTGTGAGTTGCAAATCTTTTCCAGCTGTTGAAGAAACAAAATGATGGCAATAATGCTGTTTAACGGTAACTATATAAAAACTAGAGCCATTTATGGACAAATACCAGTTTTATATTTACACACCTGATAACAGCTAAAAAATAATTTTATAAAATAAAAAATTAAGATTAAATACCTGGTTGGTCGGTCTTGCTCAGCTATATAGAACTGTATAGCAGCTTGGGCGGAATGTTTAGAACGAGCAGCCAACCTCAGCGCATCTACTTGCGGAGTAAACAATCCGGAAGCGAGAGCTACGTTAGTGGCCGTTTCTATCTTGTCACCGGTTAACACCCAAACAACTACCCCAGCTTCCCTCAATGCTTTCAGCGTTTCAGGGACCCCACTTTCTAATTTATCTTCAATACCAGTAGCACCTAAAATCACACATATAAAATATTTATAACACAAGTAATCATAAAATACATTTCTGATTAAAAGGTAAAACTTCCAATATGTTGTTATCCTGATTAATATTTTTCTGAAAAATAAAAATATATTAAGTTAAATAAAACGATTACCCATTAATGTCAAATTGCACTCTACGGCAGAATATGCTTGTCGAATATTTCCAGGAATGTTTGATATTTCTGCCGCTTCGATGGCAGCGTTTAACTCAGCCCACAAAAGTTCTGATATAATACGAGATGCTATAACTAATACTCTGAGACCTTGGGAGGCGTACATATTTACTTGAGCCTCGGTCGCACCTGAAAATATGAATAGTTATATTCAGATCTTCATCAAATGAGAAAATTACTTTTAAATTCTTAATCAATAATTAAAAATTCACTACTAACTTTCAGCTCGGGGATTAACCAGCCTTGGAAAAATCGCGGAATCCGCACCTTTACAATAGACTATGATTTCATTAGTAATGGGAGCTCTGACAACGATAGACATGCATTTTCGACTAGAATCAAATGGAAGCACTTTTAAAATTTCATAATCTGCTATACATTCTCCTGAAAACAGAAACAAAATAATTAAATAACAACATTATTGCTATAAAAAATATATAAATATAATTAATTTCATAAGACATTTTGAAAAATTGTCTGTCAATAATTACTGAGTAAATATTTTAAAGAATTAATCTTTATCAGTTAAAATAAAATATTTATAAAACACCAAGTTTAAATAATATTTTAAACATTATTGAACTTATAAAAATTTGCTGTTTTTAATAAAATTATCCCCTGAAAGATGTACTATTATAAATAAAAATAATTTCACTGTCTTTTAATTCCATTTAAGTAAGCCTATCCAAAACACTAAACTAATAAATCATTAAAAATTGAGAAATCTATCATAGTTTTTGTAAATTGTGTACTTAAGCCACTTTCATTTTAATTAGTTAACCTGTGCCTTATTGTTCCGTAAACAATGACAGAAAAAAAATTCTAATTATAGGTAGGTAACAGGTAAGCCCAAAACTCACAGTGGACATAAGGCTGTTGTATTAAAAGGAAGAAAATGTGTAACATTTGATGTATATTTAAAAAAAAATGTTTAATTTTTTAATGTTCCATAGATAATTTATAAAATAGTATGTTTAATTGTTAAAAAATTCTTTTTTTTTTGGCCTTTTCATATTTGAAACGTTTTGTAGTTTTATTATTTTTATTTTTAGAATTAACGTTTCATAAATAAGTTATGCAATTTATAATTCAAGAATGTAAGAAGAAAAAAATGTATAATAATTATATAAAAAATAATATTACATAGATGATATAATAATGTAAGTAGAGATATCATTCATTAATTTGACTTTTTGGAATTTTCGTTGGTTTTTATTTATGTGTTATTATATATTTTAAATATATACTTGTAATTATTGTGTTATAATATGATAAATAAATATTTCGACTTGAAAATTGGTAAAATCGCCTGAAACGTTGTTGAGAAAATTAAAATAAATTGAAGCATGGAGAAGAGGTGTAAGGGTGAAATAAAGTGATTTTTATCAAAAATATAAATTTTATTAATTATAAATGCCCTTGAAACATTAGAAGATTTAATAAAAATTCTAATTATTTTTTTTTTTTGCTTAATGGAATTCCGATGAAACTCTTTACAATTTATTCAAGAATTTAATTTTAATTATTTCTTACCTGGAAGGGAGACTATTGCCTTAGATGGAGTCCTTTTAAGGAGTTTACAATTATAAATATAAGCCATCTGAACAAGCGCGAGTTCATCTGGGCTTTCAGCTTCAAATATTGGCTTCGATGATGGTGACTTCGGAGAAACGCCTACACATAGAATGATTGTTTCATTATTAATCAATTTTAAATAAATTAATTTCAATTTGATACGGTAATGTTATAAAATAATATATATGAATACCATTTTTATTTTTTTTAGAAAAGAATACAGAAGGCACATTTAGAAGTTTTGGTCTTAATGGAAACGACTTTGGTTGAGAAGTAGGCGAGCTATCTGCCGAAGAAATAGGAGATAATGTTGGAAGAGCTTTTATTTTTGTCGTAGAAGGCCTAAAAAAATAATAAATAATATTGTAATTAGAAATATGGCTTGATAATAATTCAATGTTAGAATATAAAAAAAAATTAAAAAGCAACTAACGTTGAAACTGGTCTTAGCTCCTGTAACTGATAAGGTTCCTCGATAGGTATTGTAGTAGGAGAAGGAGTTATAGATCTGGTTTCAACAAGCCTTCTATACTGCATCCCTCCGATATCTTCCACACTCGGTAAGGGCGGTAATTTGTCACCCTCGATCACCCCACTGGAATTCATCTACTCAAAAAAATATAAAAATACATATATAATAATATGAATACTCTACTAAAAATCATAACCTTAAGCCACTAAGAGCTTTGATGAATTTTGGTTTATTATTTTCAATAATCAACCATTGTGATCGACCAAAAAATTAAAAAATTTAACCCCCTCTCAAAATTTGAGGTTTCACGTTTCAGGATGCGTAGAATTCCGTCTGCGCATTTTCTCCGAAACTACTGGACCGATTTTTTTCAAATTTGGATAGAAAATCAGGTCACCTGAGGATGATCCTCCTTCATCGACATTACCATCCACCTTTTACTTTCAAAATGGCGGCCGAAAAACCTGCTATGCTATAGACTGTAGCTCCTAAATGAATGTACAGATTTCAATGAAACTTCGCTAAAGTCATTTTATTGACGCCCTTTAAATTTATCCATATAACATACTTCAACGAAAAGAAGCTGGAAAAAAGTTACAAAAGATGGTATAATGTAATTCCGAATAACTCATAAAGTATACACTTTTTTGTCGATATTGTATGGTTTTTTAAAAGTTTACGGAATTTCCTAAAAAAATCGGACAATTAGGAGCAAAGATATGGTCTCCAGTTTTTTTATATGTTCTAGTCTAAATGTTATATTCTTTGTTTGATTTTTAAATTTTGAATGTGTCACTGAAGTAATGCTATTTTTTTTAGCATATTACTAATGATAAAAAAAAAGTTTAGTCCAATAATTGGAATCACCTTTTATTTATTTTTCTTTGTAACTAGGAAGATAATGTTACTTTAGATGTATAGTTGTTTGAAAATAATAAACCATTGTGAAATAATTTGCAGCATTTTTTCTAGGTGAAATCAGAAAATCATGCCCTTGTTGTAACTATAATGGATATATAAAAGGGTTTGAATAATTTCAGTTTTCTTACCCATTTTTTTTTACCAATAGATTAGATCAAAATTCACAAAAACTTTCTAAACATTCAGTTCCAATAAAAATGTAATTAGTGACCTTTTGCAATAAATAGAAGTTAAAAGTCATAACTCAATTAAGATTTGGTGGTTTGATTAAGTAACTTAAAATAGCAGACAACTAAAATAGAGTTTCCACTATTTTAAGTTATTTAATGACCAGCACCCCCAGGCCATCTTTTTCCTTTTAAATGATTACTAGATAAAGAAATTGAAAACTCACTATATCATGATGAGGATGAGCAGCAACTACTACAGTGTTACAAATCGTAAGAGCCAAAAGGAACTCCTTAGCTTTTCGCGATTGATCTGTATGTTCTTCATTCAGCAGTTCTAAAAGTTTAGGGTTAGGATTGATATGCATGTTTGGATTTTCTTCCTGCAAAAATAATATTTCTTATAAGATTTTTAAAGAGTATTTCAATGTTAATATAAGACAAGAAAGTAGCCCCAACTTTCTTATCGTATATTAAATTACCAGTACTGACATTACATAAAGATATAGGAATTCAATAATACATAATTACCATAAATTGATATATGCAAACAATAAAAGACAATTTATCAATCAAATAATTACATTTAAAAATACAAAACTTTATCATCATATAAGTATGTATGTGTACGATATGTTTATTTTACTTTTTAAAGGATATTTTATTTATTCATTTTTTTTTTTTTAAATTTATATGTATTTTTTTTCTCCTTAAGCTATTTTATTTTGTTCTTATTTCTGTATATTAGACTGCTATTACTTCATTTTTTTAAGCTTTTGTAAATATGGTTTGAATGTGCTCTCTGAACTTGCTTATAAATGTCCTTAATTGAGACAGATTGCAATATTGCTCAATAGACAAGTTTTGAATTGGTCTGGTTTATATCATCTAATATTTAACAAAATTTTGAAGTAAGAATTAAAAAATACACTTGGACTTCAGCATATTGAATATTCATATAATGAAGATTTCTGTATATTGGATAAAAAAGTTATGTTTAAAAAATAAAAAACATTTTCACAAAAAGAAAAAATAATGCATCAGTGTTTTACAAAGATCTACTTTAGAAGTTATGGCTGTACCTAATAGTATGCAGTATCAAAAATTTATGAAAACCATGATTTGGTCATTAAAATATATGAATTGTTGAAGATGGTAAAAATAATGAAGTCCGTAATGAATGATAAAATCAATAAAGTGTAATTAAAATTGTATACATGTATTCCCTAATGCAATGTCTTTGGTACTTTTTTAATCTTAAAAAAACTGCAACAGTTTTTAATATGACAAGAATGAAAAATAGCCATCTTTCTACCTAAACATCAATTTTATTTAAGAGAATCTCCATGTTTAATACATAGAGGTTTCACTGTATAATTTAATAAAAAAAATAATAGGCTATATAAAAAAAAGACCATTTTATCAAATTCAAGATTTCAAAGGACTGTAAATATTTTAATCCTATTTAATAATTACCAATACTTAATAATGCCTTTAGAGCATTCTCTAAGTTTGTTTAATCCCATGTGACTTCTTAAAAAAAACCTCAGTTTAGTAATTTGTTTCAAAGAAGAAATATGACAGTGTCCTATTAAATCTGAGGGAGAAGGTGTCCTTCACCAGTGCACTACGCGGGATTGGTTTGAAAAATTTAGTAGTGGAGATACAATGTTAGAAAGGAAGAACGGCTCCGGACAACCATTAATGGTTATTGATGAGGTTCTGCAGGAAGCTGTTAAGTCAAATCCCTCCACGAGTACTCACTAACTTGCCAAGGAGTGTGCTTTGTCAGAAAATTCTGTTAGTCGCCATCTACTCTTATGGGGAAGGTGAAAAAGAGCAGTAGGCGTGTCCCTCACAAACTTACTCCTCAGCAATCAGCTAAGAGGTTAGAATTTTGAGAAAATTTATTGAAAAACCTTTCTGATATGAAACTCCTGCCTCATCCACCATTTAGTCCAGACCTCACACCATCGGATTACTACTTATTTAAATCTATCGCCCATTTTCTTCAAGGGAAAAAAATTCGATAATTTTGCATAAGTCTAAGAGTTCTTTGACAGCCATCCCAAAGAATGGTATCAGCATGGGAATGAGCAATTGGCTAGCAGATGGCTAATGACAATAGATAACAATGGACTATTCTTAGAGTATTAATTGTATTTTATATCAAAGAAATAATAATAGAAATATTTGGTTGAAAACGGTCATTTTTTTATACACCCTTTTATATATAAATTCAATGATTTTAATTAGTTTTGTTAAAAAAGTATTCTGTTATAATTCGTACAGTCAGTGACGTCATAAAAAATAAAAATCAACAATATAAAAAGGAAACTTACTTTAGACGTTTTAGACAATGAATGATTATAATCAACTGCAGCTATTGTACATCTCCTAAAAACCATTTTGTTTTCAGTTAAAGTACCGGTTTTATCTGAGAAAAGGTATTGAATCTAAAAACAAAAAGAAAAGGAAATAATTAGATATTGATAATTATAAAAAACATTTTACCTTTTACCTTATTACAAATTATATTATTGATTATAAAATAGATAATTAACTGAATAACATAGATAAATGGAACAAACCTGGCCTAATTGTTCAGTGATGTTAAGAGCTCGACATTCGGTTCTCCGATTTGTATTTGGATCATATAAATCAATATTGTTGTTAATGTGAAACACTTGAAGTAATTTTGTCATTTCGATAGTAACATAGAGTGACATAGGAATCATTATCTGAAAAAGAAATACATAGATAATGGTATATTAATTTCATTTTTACAAATGCCGTATTTATTTACTAGTTAAGATTATAACTTAATAAAAGGTCTGTCGAGTGATTGCTGAGAATTAACTCCAATCCTTGCAACATCCAGTTAAATTCTTATAGTATGAATACTACTTTTTAATTGAATTAACAATTCTTTTTTAGGAAATTTGATAAATAACACAAATTTGAAATATGCTCCGTACAAATAAACATATACTACAATCTCAGTAATCCAAACTTCATTGATGAATTTTTTATTTCAAGTTAATGTGGAAACTTGGTTTTCATCACAAGATAATTCTCATAAATCCATAAAAAGAAAGATTATAAGAAGAATTTATGAAGCAACACTAGTTAATGGTGAATACAAAATTAAGGGAAATGCTGATGTTGTGAGTTTAATAATAATTGCATAATTCAGTTAAGTTTATAGTTAATTGCATAATTTAGGAGAACAAGGGTCATGTGGATATGTTGCAGTGGAGAGGTAGTTAGTTTTAAGTTCATATGCACATACTCTTCCCATAGTTATTTTCAGAAAATCATTCCTCATTTTGCTTTATAAAAGTGAAATGATGGTTAAGCATGAAACGATGAACAAGAGAGAATAGTATACCACCACAACAATACACTACAGTAACAATACACAAAAATGACTGAGTTCTTTAAAATATTTTCAAGTGAATTTATATAAGTATATTCAGTAAATAAACATGTACCAAATAATCATTGAGTTTTAATCTTTTATTGTATAAATTTATCCTGAACACTATTATTTGAACTTTATAGTAATCCTGATCACCCCTTAAAACAGTTGTGACTGAGATTGTATTGTACTGAAGTTTCATTTTATATAAACATTGAAGCTTTAATATGACAAAATATTACCTGAAGGCTAATGATGAATGTCCAGAAGGTGAGAAAGGACTCCAAAGAAATAGAAGCTGGTCCGACAATAAAAAGGACTTTTGTGTGGTCCTTAAAGGAACTGAGCCAAAACCTTGCTCCTAATGAGCCGATCAAACAAAGCACTAATAATATTCCAGCGCTCCATACCACATCTGCATTCAATTTTTTCTCTAATGATGATCTTTTATAGCGAGGGCCATTGCTGTTAAGCATAGCTTTAGTTTCGTGCCCTATTACAACAACAAAAAATTATAGATAATAACAAATATAGTAAAATTGAATCAGTTATTTCCTAAATGAATCCTAATATATTTTTTTGGGAATCAAGATAAGTATAAATTTCTAAATAAAGATACTTGTACTTCTTAAATAATTTTACAAAATAATTCATTACAAAATTTGTTTGACCAAAAGATTTGTTTTATTTTAATGAAAATTAAAAATAAATTTTGTTTTATAGTAAAAAAGGTTTAAATATTTTTAATAAAATTTGAATAAATTTTTCTTCCTGAATCATGCACCATTTTTTCTTTCCAAATTGTTTTTTGTTTCGGAGCGGGCACTGTAATTTGATTCGCTCCAAAAAATGGTCATTTCAATATTTTATAATTTCTATAAAAAAAATTAAAGATTTTGAGAGATATGTCCTATAAAAATTTCTTAATTTATTTTATAAAAAATATTGGTTTTGATATCAGAATTCAAATAGAAAATGTAGTTTCCACATTCTCTGAAAAAAATTGTTAATGATGATTAGAGTTCACTTTGGAAATAAATGACTCAATTATAACGTTATAATGATAAGATCTGAATACTTTTGTAAAAGATAAATAGAAAATAAATTAAAAAATGTTTCAAAATAATTCATACTCATAGATAGCTTTAATTATATATAATGAATCATCAAGGAACATTTTTCATAACATTTTGAAACAGATAGCTGAAATTTGATTTAAATTTCCTAATGTACTCCCATTAGGAAAGGGTGAAGAGCTTTTTAAAAGGTTAATGTCTTATTCTAGCAAATGTGAAGTCAATATCTATTCATTGGTTTTACCAGAATATAGAATTCACAGATCAATATAGAACAGAAATTTTACAGAGGTCTAGCAGAATTAAAGTATTTAACTTGAACAAAAATAATACTAGTTATTATAAAATGTAAAATTACCTGTATAAACGACTATTCCTTCAACAAAATCAGTATTTTTGATTACAGAGTCTCTTAGAAGAAGATGAACAGTGGAAATTGGAGTTCGGCCTCCACTAGGATCCACTATTGCGCCGTGGAACTGATACAACTTTGTTGTCGGTGGATCGACTTCAACAATGCTACGAAATTGTCGAGGACTAAATAACATTTGCTGGAAAAAAAATAATACAAATCTATAACATAAACAATTTAAATAAAGCAAAAAGAAGAGAAAAAAAGCGAATATTAGATATTCAAATTAGAAATAAATTGCAAAATGCAGGCTTGGTGACATTAACAATCAATATCCAGTACAGCATAATAATCTTAAGTGATTTTTGGTTAGATAGATCTACAATGAACATCATAGATTAATTAATAATGTAATTTTCTCTTTTGTATTTTAGAACAGAAGAATACATTAGAAGAAGCAGCATAAAATAATGTAAATAGTTATAAAAATGTATATAAAATAAACAAAATGCTGAAACAAAACATTTACTATCAATAAAAAAATAATAAAAGAGTTACTAATAAGAAAAAATATTCATAAATAAAAAGAAGAAAATTACATGTTACTAAAAAATTTTTTAAAAATAAATCGCCATACTTGTTCAGTAAAAAAAGGATAGTAATCTATGAGCAAAAACATTAATTCTAAATTTAATCATGGATGATAAATTAATAAATGACTAAAGTAACATGATAAGAAATAAATCCTTGTTATAATACTAGAAATATTTGAAATATGTTATGAAATATAGATAAATTCTTATTCATACAAAAACAAGCATAATGAAAAGCTTAGTTAGGAATTCGAATAGGAGGGTTTTAAAAGTGAATAAGTAGTAGGCACACCAAATTTTAAGAGCCAGGTAATTTCAGAAATTGGTTGAGAGAGCAATAAAGGAGATATAAGATAGATCTGAAAAAAGGAGTATTAACGTCATTAGGTCAAGAAACGGGAAGGGAATGGATAAAGAACTTGAATTGGAGGTGATTGTAGGCAAAGGGGAGGGAGGTAGTTGTCGATTATTTGGTAAAGGAATGTGCCAAGGAAATGTTTTCTTCAGAAAAGGGGAGCCGTCCTAATACAGCATAATAATGGGAAATATCAGAACATCTTGGGGGTACCATTGGCAAACCTTATATAGTATTTGTATCTTACATAATAATAATAATTTATTTATTATGTTACAGAAAGATATAAATGTGGTCTAAGGAGCCACAGAGATATATAAACAAAACTATAATGTGTAATTAAATAGTTATAATTAAAAAAATTATAAGTTACTTTTTAATTTAAATCAGTTAAAATAAAAAATTGAAAATAAACATGAAATAAAAATAATGAAGAACGATCTAATAATTTATATACATATTTACAATTTTATGGAGAATGGATGGATAAGAAATGATTGAGCAGGCGGGATTTAAAAGTAAGAAGGGTATTAGATTGATGGATGTAGGAAGTGATGCAGTTCCATCCTGAATAAAGATTCAAGATCGAAAGGAGAGGTTTGGTGGGCCCTTATCATGGGCGGATCTACGGGGGGAGGGGGAGCTTTCGGGCTGAAGCCCCCTCCCAAAATGGAAAAATATAACCATGTTTTATGGGAAAAAAAAATTAAAAAATACCTCTTAAAGTATTATTTTATCGTATAATTACATTTAAAAGTACTTAAGGAATAACTTAAACACCATTTCATATAGGTAGTTAGTTTCTTTCTGTTTTTCCAAAGTAATTATCGTTATTTTTATGAAAAAAAAAGGTTTAGGGCTGAAGCCCCCCCACCCAAAATTAAATCCTGGATCCGTTAGAGATAAAGAGTAATTAAATAGTCATAATATAAAAAAATTATAAGTTACTTTCTAACTTAAATCAGTTAATAATAAAAAATAAAAAATTGAAATAAAAATAATGAAGAACGATCTAATAATTTATATACATATTTACAGTAGCATCTATTTACATTTTTATGCAGACTGGATGGATAAGTAATGATTGAACAGGCGGGATTTAAAGGTAAGAAGGGTATTACATTGATGGATGTGGGAAGGGATGCATTTTCATCGGGAATGAAGATCGAAGATCGAAAGCAGCGGTTCGGTGGGCCCTTATATATTTATAAAAATTAAAGACCGGGAGCGAATATTACTGGAACGAAAAGAGGATTTGAATTGAAGGAGCTCGGAGATGTATGAAGGGCGGTGGGATTAGATGACTTGAAAGAGGAAAGATGTCAGGAAATACGACTGTAGGAAGGTTAAAGCTACTTCAACTCTACATAAAAACGGGAAACAGAGGCGTCCCTTGGGATCCCGAAGATGAATCGTACAAAATCAATTTATTTATTAAACGTTTTAGTTTCGCTTCGAGATTCCCAGAAACGACTCCATATATGGTACAGCAATAGTCAAAGTGTGGAAAAATTAAGGAAGTGACTAGGAGCCTACGGGTTTCAAGGGGAAATAAGTGACAGAAGAACTTTAGATGTTTCATTATATAGTAAGTATATAAGGTGCAAATTAACTTATAAGCATGTTAATTTCAAATATATTTTAACAGAAAAAGTATACAATCAAGTTAATAAGGACCAATTACCTTTTCTACAAAGCCCTGAGGAACATTTCTCATCTTGAGGTTGCTCTCACCGTCAAGATTACAAGTATCTAAGTAGCAGGTACCATATTCATCACTAGAGCGAAGGAGCAGCACATCCGCCGGAACGACTTCATTGTTCGACAGGTGCACCAGGTCCCCGACTCGCACTTGTTTCCACGTCACTTTCTTATATCTTTCATGTTCACTGAAAAAAAAAAAATGAAAATAAAAATTAGAATAATAAAGATAATGGATTATTTTGGAAAACAATTTTGTTAAAAGAAAAGAAAACCAAAACTTTTAACAGTTAAAATATATCAAAAAATATCATTTTCAATAGTCCATCCATCTTCAACTCACTTTTTGTCCCAGTTCTTAGTTTATATGAACTGACAAAGGATACAACAAAATAACTATTATAGTAGAAGCCAGAATAAGAAGGTGACCTTCAACTATTTGACTATTTCTTCCTCTCCCACATTGGATTTTATTCCCTAAGGCAATATTACCAACTATGGAAGCCTTGAGTACAGAACCATCTCTTAGGATTACCTTCACTATAAAGAAAAAAGAAAAAAACAGCATGGGCTGGAAAATATCTTTCATAAGGTTACTGATCTTCTTATTCCTTTAAAAATATAAAATTTTAATATAATTTGTGGCTGAGGAGAGGATACGAACTATCGATTGTTACTAATCGAGTACAATAATCGATTAGTATAAGTTCAGGGATAGCTGTGTCTTATTGCATAAGTATTTGATTGAAAGCTTTATCAATTGTCTTTATTGAACTGAGTATCTTGATAATATTATATTGTATTTAGGAATAAGCTCGATGTATACGTCGAATGCATCAGGGAAAATGGCTATTTAATGTGAGGAGAAGAATAGTTGGGGTGGTCAGTCGAAAAAGAAGGCAAAAAATAAATGATAATATTTATTTTTACATATGCCGACGTTTCAACCTGAAGTTCAGGCCTTCATCAGGGCTAAGAAAATAAGCAGATAACAAGGTATGAGAAACATAAGTAGTGATGGTAAAAAAAAAATAACTAAAAAAATACTAAAAAAAAATAACTAAAAACATTATAAATTATAAAAAATAACTAAAAAATTATATAACTTCATATTTCCTTTTTTTATGTTTTACATTTTATTCTAAGATTCCCATTGTAACACTTATGTCACCCCTTTTTGATTATGCCTACTTCATCATTCCACACTTTGTAACGGTTATTATTATTTATCTCTTAGTTCTTAGTCATTATTCTAACAATTTAATTTTACTTTATAATTATTTATATTATTCTTATTTATTTATTTATTTATTTTAGTAATTTTTTATTTATTTATTTTTTTACCATCACTACTTATGTTTCTCATACCTTGTTATCTGGTTATTTTCTTAGCCCTGATGAAGGCCTGAACTTCAGGTCGAAACGTCGACATATGTAAAAATAAATATTATCATTTATTTTTTGCCTTCTTTTTTGACTGACCACCCCAACTATTCTTCTCTTCATTGTCCACGACAGTCAACCATTTACCAATTATTATTTAATGTGAGAGTTCTTGCCGGAAAATAGCAGTTATAATTACAGTTCGATTAAATGAATTCATATGCATAGTTTTTCATTGATTGTCCAGATATACTAGTGTGAAATATTATCGCTAATAAGTCATAATACAAAAAACAATCATCGCTATCACTTTTTGCACTAGGCTGAATAACTCTCTCTCTCTAGTTAGCGAATTTCCGTGAACACAAGGAGCTATCTCGAACATCTGATCCTACAAGCCAGTGCCTCATGAATATAACTGCTAGGTTAGGCGGTTCAAAAGCCTCAGTGATAAGGCGTTTAGTTGGCAATGAAAACGGTAACAGTAGCGGGCATGGCATTGTGTCCAGAGGTGCTGCTCCTTGCTAACTCGCTAGAAAATCCCCACCCTCGCGCTCCCATCTTTGTCCGGCGCTAACAACCGAAATCCCGACGATTTTACACAGGTGCTCTTCTAACAGTACTAACGGTATTCTATTCCACCATCATTCTATTCCACCATCATTCTATTCCACTCGCCTTTCACGAGCGTTAGGAGTTCATCATTCTAAAATTTTCACGACATGAACATTACATATAGCATTAAAATAAATATTGGAGAATTAATTCTAAAATGTTGCTGAATTAATGAGTATTGATGGAACATTCTGGTGTGTAGGAGATAATTGCTTTGGTACAAGCATGCTATATGTAGGGCTAATAGGTTTTTAACACTAAACATACCATAACGGGTCAAATGACCCATTTTGAACTTTTCGATTGAAAATGCACGTATAATTTTATTGCGTTTGCACATTTGACTTCATGACTTTTTCTAAGTAATTAATGTACAGTTATAAAAATATTTTTGTTTTGTTTATTCTGAGTAATCCTTGTTGTATACCGATATTTACCACAACAGGTCATTTGACCCGGAGAGAATTTTTTTGCTTTATGAGATTATCTAGTCATATTTGTAGTCAGTAAGTTGCACATTCTTCCAAAGACTGTTGCGTAAAGTAGTTCAACGAAAATGGCTCAGAATAATTTCAAGAAAATATCAAATTTTATAATTGGTAAATGGTTGACTGTCGTGGATAATGAAGAGAAGAATAGTTGGGGTGCTCAGTCAAAAAGGAAGGCAAAAAATAAATTATAATATTTATTTTTTACATATGCCGACGTTTCGACCTGAAGTTCAGGCCTTCATCAGGGCTTTCTCCTTAAGTGTCAAGGGGAGAATAAAAGTCGTTACAAGGGATGGGGGAGAGAGAAGAGAGAAGAACTCTTCTCTCTCCCCCATCCCTTGTAACGACTTTTATTCTCCCCTTGACACTTAAGGAGAAAGCCCTGATGAAGGCCTGAACTTCAGGTCGAAACGTCGGCATATGTAAAAAATAAATATTATGATTTATTTTTTGCCTTCCTTTTTGACTGAGCACCCCAACTATTCTTCTCTTCAATATCAAATTTTAGATTGAAAATAGCTTTTTAGTGTAAGAAAAAGTGGCAAAAATTGAAAGTCTTGGTAAGTACCTAGCTTATATTTTATTTTGTTAGCTATAGTAATACAGATCATTTTTTACCCAGAAAAATGTCGAAGCAAACAAGACAGTACAAGTTCTTAGAAGATATAAATAATATTGGCGAAGAGTTTTCAGAAATTAGTGAAGATGAATTTTCTGAAAATGAATATATATCGGTTGCAAATAAAAATGAGTTTGATTCTACAGATACTGACGATGAAGAGTAAAATATTGTGAATGTATGTAGTGGGCCGAAAAAGAATAAGATTACTCACAAGTTCGGAAGAAAGTGAAGTAGAAATAAATGAAGAAAATGTTGCGAATGATGGATCTGTTTGGCAACAAATGCAAGTAGGTGGCACACCTGGAAGAGCACCACTTCGATGAACTATGAATTAAAAGTTTTTATTTTTTGCTTTTGTAATAGAAATGCTCAACATACTATTTTGTTTAATCATAATAAATTTAATTTATATTTTTATTTCCTTCCTAACATCCATATTTCATACATTCAAGCATGAAACATAAAGTCGGGTCATTTGACCCGCTATGGTAGAAATAGGTATATATTAAGTCTTGGTATGATTAGTGTTAAGCACAGTTTACGAACGACCTGATGGATTGCACATTGGATGGGGCACATTTCGATGAATTTTCGGCGTAAAAAGTTTCAAACTAGCGAAGAAGACGAAAAAACATGGAAAAAACCTCAGTAAGTGTAATTACATACTAGTAGGCCCGTGCGAAAGATTCGCACAGCATATTGCTATCAAATGCCAAATTAATAATAAAATAAAATAATGCAACGTATCAAAAGATAAAGAAATCAATTATTACTTTATCCATAAATATAATAAACAAAGGAAACAAATATTAATTTAAATCTTCATTTTTGTTCGGACCAACGTGTTTACAAATTTCAATAAGCTATAACTTTGTTAAAAAGTGTCCGATTTCGATGATTTTTTTTTCTTCATTTTTTAGGGAATTTAGTTATCTTTTATATAATCATGGACATAACACAGAAGAAAATGTGTAATTTTTTAGTTATTCGCCAATACAGTCTGTTTTCTTCCATAACTTGTTTGTCTGAATTTTCGGGGTGATTGGACTATTTTGCCTGCATGAAGGAGAAGGAAACCTTCGAAATCGGTGGCTCAATCTAGGGATTTTGTGAAAAATTAACGATGATATGGCTTGCCGATCAAAAACACCATCGATAAATAATATAAGCTCCTCCTCTCTCGATCATAGAGACCTCAAGTCGACGAAATGAGACATGTATTCAATGACGGTACTACAATTAACGTAAGGTTGTGTGGATGCGAACCCTATGCCTTGCGTTATCTCGAAAATAGTACGTTTTTGGGCTTAAAAACGCAGGATCCGATAGTTCCGGAGGATTCTTGCTGTACGCATCAAAATCTTCAAGATTCAATTTGTTCCGTATTGATCTACAGACCTACCACCGTTCCGTTATTGAAGCCTAGCAAAGTATTTGTATCGACTTTATTTATTTTAGAAAGAAAAACAAAAGTGGAGAATAAGATTCGCTAACACCCCGTGAAATTCTGAATCCAACGGTACCCCATTCATGGTATTTGAGCATGATAGAAGCTTATATTTGGTACAAAACCAATTTCGTGCCTTACTGTAATAATATATGTGGGGATGGGGATGATCTACGATTCATCTAATTATACTTTCCTTTGCAATGTTTTTAAGGAGAGCAATATAATTTCTTAAACAATAAAAGGAGAAGTTCATGCACAATGGACCTATGGAGTATGGGGAGGGGGAGGAGAGGGGAGGTTTGGACAGTGGACACCCCTTGAAATAAATAAACATAGATAGAAAATAAACTTGATATAAAAATGTAAAGAATTTGAGAAACAACAATACTGAGTTTATAATAAGATTACATGCATAGAGCTCATTGAATCTAAAAGCCGATGGAATAGAAATCCTTCAGTGATTAAACCGCTGAATAAAGGAACGCGTTGAATTTTATCTATAATATCCATTAATTGAAGAGAAGTTGGTTGGGGTGTTGAGTCAAAAATAAAAAGTCAAAAATGAATAAATGATATTTATTTTTATTTTTGCCGACGTTTCGGCCTAAAGTTAAGGCCTTCATCAGGGCTGATCTCACGAAAGGATCCTGGACTTTGGGCCGAAACGTCGGCAAAAATTAAAACAAATGTCATTTATTTATTTTTAGTTTGTAGTTTTAACTCACCATGCCAACCAACTTCTCTTCAATTATTCACTAAAGTAAACCATCAATCCACTATTGTGA